ATTTATATTCAAAATAATTTATAAAATATTAACTAATTGAATTTCGAATTTGCGTAAAATTCTTTAAAATTGTTTCTTTTCTTAAATTTTATTTTAATTAACACATGATTGTTATAAAAAATAAATAGAAAAATAATAATTGAATTTGGAATTTGCATAAAATTCTTGTACATTTTTTTTGTGTTTCCTTAAATTTTATTTTATTTAACGTTTGATTGATTAAAAAAAATTAAAAAAATTAAAATTCAATTTAGAATTTGTGTGAAAATATTCTGAATTTTTTTTTCTTTTCTTAAATTTTATTTTAATTAAAACTTGATTCATATAAAGAATGGTTCAAAAAAAAAAATTATTGAACTTAGAATTTGTATGAAATTTTTCTTCTTCTTAAAGTTTATTTTATTTAACGTTTGATTTATATAAAAAATAATTGAATTTATAATTTGCATAAAATTCTTTTTTATTTTTTCCTAAGTTTTATTTTAATGAACTTGTGATTGATAGAAAAAATAATTAAAAAAATAATAATTGAATTTAGAATTTGTGTAAAATTCTTCTTTTCAGCGAAAATTATTGTTTCTCCTCGCACATTATTATAATTAATGTATGTAAATGAGAACAATAGTGAATATTTTTCCCTCTTTCTCGAAGGCTATCGACTTGTTGCATAACAACATATATTTATAAAAGATAACGCGGACGCGCAATTAGAAATTATTTCCGTCCGGAAATATATATATTGATCAATTAGTTACACACCCTAAGATAATTTAATTCAGATTATAGAGACGATTTTTTCTTTTCTTTTTGTTGTTGCTCACTACTAATAAGGAACAGGAACTATTTCGCGCGCGCGCGCGCTCGCTCGTCAGAAAAGCTTCTTGTTAATTTGCTCGTCTACAAAGAAAGTCGCTACTTTGTAGGATATGAATTATCAGACAATATTCATTCATTATAAAGATTCACGTTCATAATTAGTAATTAAGCGATTAAATACATTGTAATAATCACACCTACTATACGTGTATAAAGTGTAGAATTTTTTTTCTATAGTCGGGTGCGAGGATATGAGGAAAAAAGAAATAGAAAGTCTGCACTCTTAGCAGATGTGTCGAATATAATCGTGAGAGACCCCAAGAGAGTCTTTTGCCCTTTCATTTCACTCTCTCCTTCATCTTCCTGTAAGATTCAATTTTATATATATATAGTATATTTGCAGGCACACTCTTATGTGCGAATCGATGACGAAAATAACCTCACCGACTTGTAATCACTCTCTCATGATTAACGACTTCAACATTTATATCGTTTAGAAACAGGATCTTTTTTTTTCATTTCTAGAAATGCGTCTATTTCTTCTTGGGCTTTTTTCATTTTTAATCTTTCAGTTTCGTTGGAGAAATTAGATTTGTCCGTTTCTTGCAATTATGTATTATTTTCCCTTTTAATTATGTTTTTTTTCCAATGGTTTCGATTTTGAACTTTACGTTTAATTGCTTAAAGTAAAAGGCAATTTATTTATTTATTATTTATTATTACTTTTTATTGTTGGTATTATAATTATTATTATTATTACTATTATATAATTAATAATTATGTTTTTATTCGTATTATTATTTTTTTATGTTATTTAACTAAATTTTGTTGAATTTTTGCATTTTAATTTTAATAATCTTAAGGAAGAATCTGACGTACAGTAAAATCAAAAGTTAGTCCAATGTCATAATTCAGTAATTTAAAAGAAAAAGACAAATTAAATTTTAAATTCGTCTTGGTGGAAAGGCGAAGAATTTAATTTTGAATATTTAAAACGATTAAAAGTTGCATTTGAAAAAAATTACAATTTTCTGTCAATAAGAAATATTTGTTAAATTTAAGTTTATGTTACTTGAATAATTTATTATTGACAAAAAATTATAATTTTTATTCAAATATAACTTTAAAATGTTCAAAATGTAGAAAATTAAAATTAAAATTAATTAATTAAAATTAAAAAACTTTACCAAAAAGAAATTTAAAATTTAATTTGACTTTTTTTTTTAAAATACGAAATTATGACATTGGACTAACTTTTGTTCCAATTGTTTGTCGAGTTCTTCCTTAATAGCAAAACGGAAATTTGAAAAAATATTTTTTTGCAATTCAAAATGTAAAAAGATGATAAAAATTAAATAAAAATGACAATGTTTTTTTCTTCATTAAAAGAAAAAAATTCATAATAAAAATACAATTTTTTGATAGAAGTATAATAATAGAAAATAATTATTATATAAATAATTATTAAGAAATTAATTTTTAGTATACGAATAAAAGCATTACCTGGAATTATCAAAAGTTAATCCAATTCCATTATATTTGGAATTTTAAGTAAAGAAAAACGTATCAAATTTAAATAAATTTTGCCAGCGGCTTAAAGAAACAAAATAGTTAATAATAAATAGAAGAAAATTAAAAGTAAAATACAATATTATTATTATTATCATTATTATTCTTATTATTGATGTTGTTATTATAAAAATAGCGATAATAATAATAATATAAATAATTTATTCGAAATTATTTTTTTTCTTTATTTATTACATATATTTAAATAGTTTATTGATATTTCAAATTTTTATTATTTATATTACTTTTATATTAAGTAGTAAATAATTTTTCTTTCAAAGAATCAGATTTTATGTGAAAAGTAATTAATCATTATGATAAGTCAACTACTTTTGGAAAATATTGAGTTAAATTGAAATAAATTACTATTTGAAAGTAATTAGTTGAAATTATCTTAAACTACTTTTCAAAAATAATGAACGAAGTAAATGATTAATGACTGTGAAATTTAAACACTAAAAAAAATTATTTGAATCAAATAACCGATTACTTGACTATTATCAATTCAATATTTTCTAAAATCAAATAATTTTTATTTGAGTCAATTAAATGGTTCAGTTTATATTTGCTCCAAATACTGAAATTTTTGGTTCAAATACAATTTCTTTGACTTGAATAAAAATTATTTGATTCAAGTAAATATTTAATTGAGAGTCAAGTAATCGGTTATTTGAATCAAATAAATTTTTTTTCAGTGTAGGGTAAATTATTCAGAAATTATAGTAATTTTTGTCCTGAATTATTTTCTTATTTTTCATAACATGATTTTATTAATTTTAAATTTATATTTGTTATATTTTGAAAACAAAGGGGAAAATTTTGTAGTTTATAATTTTTTTTTAAAGGAAGGGAAATACTTTAGTAATAAAAACTAAAATTAGTACTTTTTTAAAATAATTTCGAGACTTTTTTAGTTTTCTTTTAATAATTTTATTACTTTTTTACACCCCAGAAAAAAGTTTTTGTTGCTTTAAAGAAATCGTTTGCTTTGAATTCGTCTCTTTGAATGAAAATTAATTTTTCTTCCATACATATCAAATTTATTTGATTTAAAAACAATTTATTTGTTTAAAAAGAAATTTTTTTTTTAAATTAAAGAATTATTTCTTTGACTCTTTTCATTTGAAGAATAAATTTCTTCAGTTCAAAGAAAATTTGCTTAAATCAAAGAAATTTTCTTTAAATCAAAAAAATCTCTTTTTGTTTGAAAGAAAAATTTATTTTGAATGAATGAGTTAATTAAAAGAATTAAAAAATTAGTTCTTTGACACTTTTGATATATTTAAATCATTATTCAAAAATTGATTCAATTTCTTTGATTTAAAGAACGAATTTGTTTCGATTCTAAGAAAATTTGTCTAAATCAAAGAAAATTTTTTTTAAATTAAAGAAAATTTGTTTAAATCAAAGAAATTTTCTTTTAATCAAAAAACCTCTTTTTATTTGAAAGAAAAATTTATTTTGAATGAAACAAACCAAGTCTAAGAAACTAATATTTATATTTTCAATTATAATTCACTTTAATTAAAGAAAAACTTTTCTTTTTTATAATTTTAATATTTTCTTAAAATCTTTTGTAATAATTTTAATAATTTTTTTAGTTTTTGTTTTTAAAATAATTTTAGTATTTCTGTTTAGTTCTTTTTTCATAATATTTTAATATGTTTCTATAAGCAATTGTTTGAGAATATTTACTACACTGAAAACAATTATTTTATTCAATTTCTCTATTAATTGTCTATTATCAAATAAATATTTACTTGAATCAAATAATTTTTATTTGATTCAATTAAATGGTTCGGTTCACATTTGCTTCAAATACTGAATTATTCTTGGTTGAAAAATAATTTATTTGATTCAATTAAAAATTGTTTGATTCAAGTAAATAATTATTTGATAATAGACACACGGGGAAAAAATTTTTTTTAATTAAAAAATAAGTAGCCAACCAAAAAAATATATTTGAGTTAAACATATTTTATAATTGAATTAAACGTAACTTTTATTGAATCAAACTTATATATTGAATCAATATTATTATATTTAATTGAAAAATAATTTTTGATTGATTGTATGAATTAAACATATTTTATAATTGAATTAAACGTAATTTTTATTGAATCAAACTTATGTATTGAATCAATATTATTATATTTAATTGAAAAATAATTTTTGATTGACTTTAGGACAAAGATAATTATGTTTGATTCAAATATATTATTTTCTCAGTCAAAATAATCGGTTATTTGAATCAAATAATTTTTTTTTCCAGTGTAACATTGAGAGTAATTTTTTTTCGCAATAAACACGTATTTCGAACAGTAAAACAAGTCCTTAGGATTAAAAATTATGGTTTTTTTTGTCTACTTTTCGTTGTTTATCGCGCGTCATATAATAAATAAATAAATAAATACACAGTGATGCGCGTAAATCGTTTTTTGCCCGGAGTGCAAATTTCTCTGTTGACTCTGGGTCACGGTCGTTGGTGTGTGGGGCACTCGTCGGACGAGTGTTTCCTCGTTCACCCAAGTCTCACACGTTCTTTTACAAACGATCCCGTACACCCCACCTGAACTTCCGGTAATCCTAAGAGACAGTATATATAGCCAGAAAGGCTTCACATATACCATGACAGTATCTTCAAGTCTGTCTTGTGGATCACAAGAAAGTCAGGAAGTTCCTTGACTTTATGGTGGTGCCAGTTCCTTAACAAAATGGCACCTAAAATCACCGTAAGCACCAAGAAAAAATAAAATAAAATCGAGAACATTTTTTTTCAATTTTCTTTTTCAAAAATTTTAGTTTTTTTTTCTTATCGTGAAAGAATAACATTAATTCAAAGTGATTGAATTATTTGCAAAAATTTTTGTGCGAAAGAAGTTTTATTTTTTAGTTTTTTGAATATGCGGAGGAAAAATTAAAAAAATTTTGTGGTGTTTTTTACGTATTACGAGCATATTGATATAGTGAAGTGTCTGACCAAAAACTCTGTTACTACTGATTCGATGGACTATTAGATATTATTTTTCTAGTTGCTGTTGATTCTTTTTTTTAATGAAACTAAGTATTTGATTATTTATTTATTTGTTTTTTGATTTGTAATTGTGGAAAAAAATTGTTAACTATTTTTGTCAATTTTTTAATTAATTATTAATTAATAATTAGTTAATAATTAATTAATAATTGGTTAATTATATATTAATTGTTATAATGTTTATAATGTTAATAATATTAATATTTTTTAAGCAATTAATAGTATCAATATTAATTAATTAAACAATCATTTGATTAAAAATAATGAATAATTAGTTAAAATTATTTTTATTTTTTGGAGAAATATGAAAAATTATTATATTCTTATTAATAATGTCATTACATTTTATTTTTAATTAAATTATTATAAATTATTAACTAATTAAGCAGAGTCAAGATTTAAATGATTTATTTTGAACTAATTTCGAATAACTTGTTACTTGTGAAATTAAAAAATTTATATTTGAACAAATATTTTTCTTAAACATTTGAAAAATAAAAAAATTATTTTGATATAAATTAACCATTAGAAAATACACTGAAAAGTTTATTTGACTTGAGTGAAATAATTTTTATTATTTAAATCAACAAAATAATATTTGAACCATTAAATTTAGGATTTAAAACTTAATTAATTAAATTAAAAATCATTTAATTGACTTAAATAAAAATTATTTGATTCAAGTAATTATTTAATTTATAATAGTCGAATCATCGGTCATTTAAATAAAATAAATTTTTTTCAGTGTTAGAGTAAATTAAAATGTAAAAATAAATAAATTAATTAAATTCATTAAAATTATTTTCATAAGTGAGTAAAATAAATATTTAAACTTATTTAATTAATAATAAATTGATATTTCTCCAAAGCATCGAAAATTATAGTCGTTATAGTAAAATTATTAGCACAGTTAAAAATTTTTATTTGTCCTGTATTTAATTAATAAAAATATACAATTGATTTTGTCATTTTTAAAAAATGTAAAAATAAAAAAAATAGATGTAAATAAACAAAATTATTTATATCTAATTTTATTATTAGATTTTATTTTATTTTTGTTTTATTTTCATTTATTTAGATATTTGCGATAAATTTATATTTTATCTGCAGTCATTTTTTTTTTGCAGTTATTAAATATAAAACGGAGAAAAAAATCTTTTATTTATGGGAGAAATAAAATTTTTAATTTTCAATATATAATATGGAAAAAGTAAATTTTTATATTTTGTTTTCAGCTTAAATGTCTGATACTTGCTACAGTGATAGCAACTGTTTCTGCCACATTTGGGAAAGAACAGTAAGCAATTATTTTTTAAACATTAAATTGAAGGTTGTTTGTTTGTTTTTTTTATTATTTTAAACTAATATTTGAAATGGATAAGTCAATAAAATTGTAACATTAAAATAAAGCATTTTATGACTTCAGTGTGGGCATTAAAATGAAAATGTGAAAGCTAAAATGTATTTTAGAATAATTTATTAGAAACGAGTTGTTTTTTTAAGTCTCACCTACTGTTGATTGGATATATAATAAACTTGGGGAAATTCAATAAAAACATTGATGGAAAATTTATATTTAAACTTTCAATTATATTTTTGAAATATTTCTATTTATAGTTTTGCGAATGAATTAGTTTCTTGCATTTTATTAAAAATATTATTGACGGCAATTTTAATATTTTCTTCTTTCTTTTCTTTTAATCATTATCATCTGCTACTTGTTGTTGTTTTTGTTATTTTTTGTTATTTTATTACTACTGTTATTATTTTTTTTTATTATTATTATTACTTTTATAATTATTTATGTCTTTTTTTCTTTTTAAAAATAGAGGCACAAAATATTCCCCGATTGTCATTTAATTGAACTTCAGGTAACCAAATTGTCATTAACCAAAATTATATTAATTAGCATTGTTATTTGACAAAATGACACTTGACCGAAATTTCATTTCACCGGACTGCCATTTAACCAAATTCTCACTTTATTAAGTGACAAAATTGCCATTTAATAGAACTGTTAGTTGACAGAACTGTAATTTAATCGAACTATTATTTAACCGAACTGTCATTTCATACATTTGACATTTAACCGAATATTTAATTGGTCGAATTGTCATGTAATGGAATTGCTATTAAACCGAACTGTCATTTACAGGAATCAAAATTTGACCGAACTGTCAATTGACCGAATATTCCTGTGGTAAATTTTTAAATGAGTGTTCGAACAATTTATAAAATTTCGGTCAATCTTTGAAAGTGCGACTATTCTGTAAAATACCATTGCGACATAGTGTCACTTCGGTCAAATGACAGTTCTGTTAACTGACAGTAGGATCAATCGACAATTTTATGAATTGACTATTCGATTAAATGACTGTTCGATTTAGTGTCAGTTTGGTAAAATGACCCTTCGAATTAATTTCAATTCGGTCAAATTACTAATAGAATTGATATTAATTCGGTCAAATTACTGATCGAATTAATATTAATTCGGTCAAATTATTAATCGAATTGATATTAATTTGGTCAAATTACTGTTCGAATTGATACCAATTCGGTTAAATTACTGTTCGAATTGATTACAATTCGGACAAATGATTTTTCGAATTAATATCAATTTGGTCAAATTACTAATCGAATTGATATTCATTCGGTCAAATTACTGTTCGAATTAATATTAATTCGGTCAAATTACTGTTCGAATTGATACCAATTCGGTCAGATGACAGTTGGAATTAATGACAAGTTGGTTAAATAACAGAATGGTTAAATGAAAATTCTGTAAAGTGGCTATTCGATAAACTGTCATTTTTTACTTAACGGCAGTTAGGGCAAATGACAGTTTGGTCAAGTGGCTATTCGGTCAAATAAAAATTGGATTAAATACCAGTTTGATAAAGTGACAATGAAACAATATTCATACGCCTCTTGAAATTAGTAAAAAAATTGTTTGTTTTCAAGTTCAACAATGATTGGTAGCTTGAAATAAATTTATTATCAGCAACTAAAAATTGTTTGGTTCAAGTTCAACAATCGATTGTTTGACTCAGGCAAATTTATTGTCAGCGATAGTTTACAAAACCAAGAGTAATTATTATTCTGCACATTTTTCATTTTAGTGAGCACACATTTATTGCAAATTGACGTTGAATTAAATAAAATAATTCGTGTAATTGTTTACGAACTGAAAAAAATTTCTCTTTTAGTGTACATATAAGAATACATTTAAAAGAACCAGAGCATCATGGACCAAAAATAATACATTCTCACGATGACCATGGAGGAGGAGGAGGTCATGGAGGTGGAGGTGGTCATGGAGGCGGAGGTGGTGGTGGCGGGGGAAGTCATATAGAATTTACAAGTCCAGGAGGTGGACATGATGATATTGGCGGATTTGGAGGCGGCGATTTTGGAGGCTATGGCGGTGGAGGAGGAGGAGGACACGGAGGAGGTGGAGATTTTGGAGGATATGGAGGAGGAGGTGGTGGTGGACATGGAGGAGATGACTTTGGAGGACATGGCGGTGGAGATTTTGGTGGATTTGGGGGAGGAGGTGGCGGTGGACACGGAGGAGGAGGCGGTGGCGGTTATGGAGGAGGTGGAGGACATGGAGGAGGCGGTGGTGGATATGGAGGAGGTGGAGGACACGGAGGAGGCGGTGGTGGTTATGGAGGAGGTGGAGGACACGGAGGAGGAGGCGGTGGGCACGGAGGAGGTGGTGGTGGAGGACACGGAGGTGGATTTGGAGGTATATTTCTCGGAAATGTATGTTGTTCAAAGTAAAAACCCAGTTGCTGGATTTGCCCAAAGGTCGGGATTTGTTTACACTCTAAGTGAACTTCGCCCTTACGGCAAATGCAGCTACTACTTTTTTACTTTTGACAGCAGATTTGAATAAACCAATTTAATTAATTATTATTAATTAATTGTTGTTAATTTCGTTAATTGAACGAATTAATAAATTGAATTTTAATTGTAGGTGGACATATTATAATAAGTGATATAGGAGGTGGACATGGAGGAGGCGCCGGAGGGCATGGGGGAGGTGGTGGTGGTTATGGAGGAGGAGGAGGTGGACATGGAGGTGGGGGTCATGGAGGAGGCGGAGGTTTTGGAGGAGGAGGTCACGGTGGTGGTCATGGAGGTGGGGGAGGCGGAGGATACGGCGGAGGCGGTGGTTTTGGGGGTCATGGAGACAGTTTCGGAGGTGGTCATGGCGGTGGTTTTGTAGCTAGTTCTAGTTTTGGAAGTTCCGGTTACGGAGGAGGTGGAGGCCACGGTGGCGGTGGCGGTGGAGGTGGTGGGCACGGAGGTGATGACCACTCTTACGCATCTAGTAGCTTCTCCTCTGGCTTCGGCAGCAGGTAATTTATTCGTTTTTCTTCAAAATTTTTAGTTATTTCTTTCTCATTTCTATTATTATTTATTATTTCTATTATTATTATTTTTCTATTATTTCTATTATTTATATTATTTCTATTATTTCGATTATTTCTATTATTTCTATTATTTAATTATTAAATTCTTCGATTTAAAGTTATAAGAATTAAGAACTGTGTTTTAAGAACAAGGAAACTAATTGAAAATTATTTCTAGTGGTCACGGATCTTCGGGACTAGGAAGCTTTTCCGGTGGACACGGAGGTGGAGGGGATTCGTATTCAAGTGCGCATGGATCGTCGTTCGGAGGTGGAGACTTTGGGGGAGGAGGTGGAGGAGGATATGGAGGTGGAGATTCTTACTCGGGAGGTCATGGAGGCGGGGGAGGAGGTGGTGGTCATGGAGGAGGTGGAGGAGGATATGGAGGTGGGGATTCTTACTCGGGAGGTCATGGAGGCGGGGGAGGAGGAGGAGGTGGTCACGGAGGTGGATTTGGGGGTGGTGATTCCTACTCCATTGCTCACAGTGGAGGAGGTTCGTCCTTCGGTGGTGGATACTCTGCCCCATCCGGAGGCGGAGGAGGCCATGGTGGATTTGCTGGTTACCCGTAGAAATAATTTATCCATTGTAAAAAAATTCGACGTCTCTTATTAATTTTTAAGAGAACTTTCGCAAAGACTTTGTAAAAAAACGGAATTTAGATGGAATTTCTACATTCTGGCTTTTTTTTACAATTAGACTAAGATATTTTTTTCTAGTACATTTTTCCATTATTGTAGTAAATTAATTTGTTTCTGTCCTGTTTTGACTATGGATTTCAGTTTATTTTTTTCATTTCTTTCAATTTTTTTTCTCATCTACAAAAGACGATTTTTTTCGTTTTTAATTTTTTTTTGAAAATCAAAGTAGATGTATTTTTTTTGTCACAAAAAGAAAATGTTCTTTCTGTGAAAACTGAAATTTTTATTGTAATAATTTATTGTATAATTATAGCAGTATTTGACGTTGCCTGAACAATTTATGTATAATTTTCGTAGTGCTTACACATTTTTGATGATTTTACGGTTTTTTTTTTTTTTTTTTTTTTTGTTGAGACTAACAGTTTTTGTGTGTTCTTGCTTTTCAGAACAAAATATATTATGTTGACGAGAAACGCAGTCGTTTCAGAAAAAAATGTGATAAACAACATTGTTGTTTCCGCCAAACTGTTTTATTTTTTGTAGAATACTTTTCTGTAAATATTTCTGCTTTTGCAGCGTTGCTTTTGTAATAAAATCGTTTATAATTAATAAAATGTGAGTTTTATTTAATTAATAAAATTTGATTTTTATTGTTTTATTCATTTACTGTTTATTTTAAGTGTATTATTATTAAATGTAAAATATTGTAGAGATGTTAAATATCTTTATTTATTCCATTTTAAGGAATAAATGATAATTCAATTATAAAATAATTGAAATTAAAACAATTATTAGTAAAATATATTTTGATAATAAATCTTTAATTCTGAATATTTCTCTGAATATAAAATTAAAACTATTAAAATATATTTAGATAATAATTATTATTACGTATCTGAATATTCTTATTGATATTTTATTATTATTGTCCCATTTATAAATAAATAAATTTATTATCATATTATTATTGAAAATAAAACATTATTTCGTTCTTTGATTAAAAAATTTTTTATGCGTCCACTTTTTTCAACAATTGAATTGATTAGCGATTAATGGAAATTATAGTTGTTTGCCTATTCCTCTTTAATGAAATAAGGAAACATTTTATTTTCTCTTTAGAAACACAATTTGCGGTAAATTTGCAATAAATTTTTTTGTTGAGACTGTAGTATCTGATTTCTGCGCATAATGTGTGTGCAATTTCACGATAAACTGCTGGTCTATTAGAGTTGTTTCAATGTAAGAAAAAGACATGAGAATCGAAAAGAAAAAATTAGAGAAAAATCTTAAGTTGAGTTATAAAATCGTAATTGGCTTTTGTATTGTGGAATCGAACTAATACGTGTGCATATGTGTGCAAGTGAAAAGCCTCTTTATATATCCATATTATAAGTATATATAAGGAAAAAGTGAAAGGGATGATCATGTAAGAGAAGAGTCTATGGGATCACTCTGATTTATGTGAGAGGTTAACCTAACATTGAATTTGACCTTTTGAGATTCACTTTCAGGATTTCCTGAATGTCAAGGTCGTTGACCGTGAAAAATTACTGGCTTTCGGTGAATTTCTTTTTTTTTTTACTTATTTTTATTAATTAGAAATTAGAAATTTAAATTTTACTATAATTTGCGTGCCTTATTACGTTAGCGTTTGTGAATTAATCGAAATCACTAAAATTTTCTGAAATAGTTTTCGAAAATATTTATCGCAATTAGAAATAATTTTTAAGTGACCAAAATAATTACTTACCTTTTCGAAATAAATTACTGTTGAAAAATAGTTACAATTTACTTTTACAAAATAATTTACTGTTAAAAAAATTACTTACTAGAAAATAATTTACCGTATAAAAAAATAATTACTAAAAATAATTCAACTTGTTAACTATTCTTTTCTACATGATAATAATAATTATAATATTTTTTCCCACATTAATTAATTATATGCAAATACATTTTATTTCGCGAAAATTTATATTTTATAAATAAAGTAAATTATTCCCCAAGAGCAGCTTTCATTGACCCTAGTTAAAATGTTAATTCAGTTTTATAATTAATTAACTTTCATCTTGTGAGATTGGTGAAACTAAAAAGTTACAAATGTTACCTGATATTTTCCGACAAAGAACAATTAAATATAGTTTTCTCTCTGGTATGAATTTCAATTATCGAAAGACGTAATACACAAAATAAAAAAAAACAAAAAATTATTATGCAAGATTATTTGTCAATAATTTGTGTATAGAAATTGAAATTGCCAAAACATTCGCAAGAAACGAAACATAAAAGAAATAGATCAAAAGTAACAAAAGTAAATGTGTACCCATTTTTTTTTGCCTCAAACAATGGCGTAAAATTTTTAAATGTCGTAATTGATAAATTTGTAAGTTTTTAATTTTCAAATTTGATTTTTTAATTTTTTTCTTAACATAATTTGGAAACTAGATATTTGTTTAAATAAATTGTGAAATTTTAATAATAAATATATAATTTCCTAGAAAATGAAAATTATTATTATTATTATTATTATTGTTATTCAATTGCCAGTATGTTTATTATACAAAATAGGAGAAAAATAAAATTTGAAATCAATAATTACAGGCAATTATAAAATCGATGATTTGTGCATAATAAATGAGGCGCCAATACATAATATTTCCGGTGTTAATTATTTCCGGTGTGTGTTATTCATTATTAATCGAGCGAGAAATAGAGAAAGAGATAAAAAGGAAGAAGTGAGAGTACTTCCTACACATCTTTGAATATGTATTATTCCGCAGGGGAATTTTATCTCTCTCGCAATTTTAATTCTCAACATCGTTGAGAGTGAGAGTGAGAAAAAGAGCACACACACACACACATTTGTAGAAATTGAGAAAAATAAATCTTTATCTTTTTAAAATCACTTCCTACATGTTCTACGACAATGCGTACTCTTAAGCATGTATAATATTGTATTTGAGATTATAGAGAGAGTGTGGAGTGTCGAAAAAGTGGGGTTGCGAAAAATAGTTATACATATATTTTCCACCGCTCACGGAAAATGTTTACGTTTATAAAGCCCAGCAAAAAGGTCATTTCCTTTTAGTTATTTACTTGTATTCCCACGCGTTAAACCAGAGCAAATCTTTAAAAAAGAAGAAAAGGAGTTTTTCATATTCCGATTCTCAACAATTTTTCTCAGTGCTTGTTTTGCATTTTTTTTTGCAAAAAAAAAAATTATTATTTATGAACTATGGTTCAAATTCGAGTCCAGGTAAGTTGAATTTTTTTTCCTTTATTTTTTAAGGACAAAAAAAGATGGATTTTTATTTTTTATTTAGTTTTTATTTACGTCATTAATAAAATTAAATTTTTTAATGAGAACAGAAACATTTGCATTTATTTGTATTCATTTTACATTTTAAAATGTAAAAAAAAATTCGAAATTCGTTCTTTTTCATTTTATTTGTTAAAAATAAAAAGAAAACAATTTTTAATTAGAAATAATAATATAACGCTGCGATAATAATAAAGAAAATAATTATTACACATAAAAAAATTTATTTGATTCAAATAACCGATTGTCTTTTATCAAATAAATATTTACTTGAATCAAATAAATTTTTTTTTCAGCGCAATAATAATAATTTTATTGTTTAGTGAAAAATTCCATAAAAATTAAAAAAATATTTTAATAAATAACAACGGTATAAATAAAATAGAAATGTAATTAATAATAAATATTTAAATAAAAATGATAATTCCAAATTAAAATTTCGATAAAGTATTGAAGTTAATTAACGCAATGAAAATTAATAAAATAAATATTACAGTCTAATAATAAATAATACATATTGAAAATAATAATTAAAAATAGTAATTCAAAGTAATAATTAAAAATAATAATAAAAATAATAATTAAAAGTAATAATTAAAAATAATAATACATTTGTAAAAAATAATATAATAAAAAATTAGAAAATAAGTAAATCCACTCTGCAAAATTCGATAGTGACTTGAAAGTTAATTAACGCAAATTATATTGATAATATGATAAATTGCAAAAGGATAAAATTTGATTAATAAAGATTGGAATTTCGTTTTCCCTCTTCTCTAAAAACAAAAAAGAAAAAGAACAGGAGCTTTTTTAATAAATATTATAGACATAATATATGTATTGAAAACGTGATATATTTGCTTTAAAATTTCTCTTAATATGATTTTATGTATTAAAATTTTGTTATAAATTTTTAATCGCATCGAGTATATAGCTTTCTTCAATTATATTCTTGAAATGCAGTAGTAGTAAATAAAGTTGAGAAATTGGAGAAAATTGCAAAGATATTGTATATATATATATGTATATACATAATAATATCTCTTGGGAAACCATATAATTATTAGATAAACTCTCAATCATTATAATTAGACTATTTCAACGAGGTAATAACAATATAACATCTTTGTTGTTAATCGCGCTCCATCAAAATTAGTTTGTAATTATCATTTTTATATGTGTCGGTACTTAAAATTTTTTGACAATTTTTTTTTTTTTTGAATAATTATAATAGTAATTTTTCTTGAAAGAAAGAAATATTTTATGTTTTTTCTATTTTTTCTTTTTTCAATATTTTTTTCAAACTCTTTATTTCTCAATTTCTTTTTGATTTGTAATATTATGTTTATTATGGGTAAAAATTAATTACGTATTAAAAATGTAATTTTTCGAAATATTAAATAACTGAGCTCTGAGGGCGATATGTTTGTTTTAATTTAGATTTTGTCTACTTCAATTTTATAAAAAAATTTTTTTTGTAGAAAAAATAATTTAAAAAGTAGTAATTTTATTTTTCATTTTTATTTATTCAAAATTCAAATTCACGTGCGCAAAGTCCTTTGATGCGAAGTACTTAACAATATCTTAAAATTAATTAACAATTAATGGAAAATTCGTTAGAATAAGAAAAAAATGCTGTTTTTTATATTAAATAGTTTATTTAATATTTTGTTATTGTACATTTTTACCTTTTTTATTGTCAATTATTTCAACTTCTTTTTAATATTTTATTTTACAATTTCAGGTGATTTTCGTGATGATTTTAGCCTTGGGATTATTATCATCAGCCATGCCTAATCCGGCGGATCAGTGAATATTTTTATTTTTTCTATATATATATATATATAATTTATTCTTATTTTTTTTCTACCTTTTTTTTATCTCTTCACATTATTTAATAAATCTTTTTCTTCATTTTTTCAATAAAAAATTGAAGAAAAATAAAAAAATTTTATTTAACAATTTTTTAAGTTCTAATATTTTTTCTCTTTTTTTTCAGCACTCACATTAAAATTCGAGTACCGTCCTATCATCACACTCATAAACATACAATTATAAAGAAGATCTACATTCCCGTGAAAGTAAAAAGTGAACATCATCATAAACATTGGTGAAGAATATAGATTATTAAGAGAAAAAAAAACAGAAAAAAATGTCATGTTGAAAATAATTATTATCGTGCATGTAAATATTTAATATGTAGAAGTAATTGTAATTAAGAATTTCGCATATAATTTATAGTTATAGGTATATAAATTTTTTTTCTCTTCACTCACACCGTGAATTCACTTTCACTGCTAGATATGTTTTTTTTAATTATTATAAATATAAGCACAGTGTTCTTTTTTGTAAAGAATTTCAGGTACACTTTTTTTTAATAGTCAATTAGTTTGACTTTAAATTGAAAATTTTAATTAATTAAAAAATGGTAAAATAAATTTCGACAAGTATTAAGGAATTTAATTAAATAATTAAATTAAAAAAATTAAATAATTTAACAAAATTTGTAATTAATATTTTGTGAATAAATTCATTTTATTGAGTGCTATTTATTACCTTGTCCGTATTTAGACAATGTTTTTAAACAATTTTAATTACATTTAATCAAATTTAATTGAAAGTTAATTTTAATTAAATTTAATCAAATTTAATTGAAAGTTAATTTTAATTTAATTAAATTTAATCAAATTTAATTCGAAGTTAATTTTAATCAATGCAAAAGAGGTGGATTACATTTTGAAAATTGTAACTAAAATTTTGAATGATTTTTATTGAATGATATTTATATTTATTCCATTGTCCGTTTTCAGACAATTAGTCTTATGTTAATTAAATACTGTTTAATTAATAATCAATTGTAATTAATTTGAAAGAGATGAATTACATTTTGAAAATCGTAATTAATGTTGTGAATAAATTCATTTTGTTGACTTTGATATTTATTCCATTGACCATTTATATAATTAATAAAAAAAGCAAATAATAAATTTAAAAAATAAATTAATAAAAATAAATATTATTTTATTAATTATTTATTAATTTTATCAATTATTATTAATAAAATTAATAAATGTGGTGAACCACCACTGGTGATATTAGAAATAATTTAAAAAATAATATTTTGTTGCTTTTTTCGGATGAAAGGAATATGGTTACTAATAGTTTGCAATTAAATAATGAAGATAATTTATTATTTAATTGAAAATTAATTAACAAAATCTTTTTTTTTTTTTAGAAAAATAGCGCTTTATTTAACTATCTGCATGCAGTACAAAAATAAAATTCGTATATTATATGTACAATTGTTTGATAATAGCATAGTGAGCGAGTGCATTTTGTTCATGAATTAATTATTCATGTATCGTGACCTATAATTAAGTTCTTAACTATCTTAGCTGCGGGAGATTTATATCACCTTGTACTTGATTTTTTTTTTGGATTTTTGACTGAGTTTGAAAATTTCACTAAATTTTTGTCGAAATTTCGTTGTTGTCAAGACGGATTTTTGAGAACCACCTAGAAAATTATTAAATAATTATTACATTCACAAATTACAATTCAAGAGTACAGAAATATTTTTTTTTAATTTATGTTTTCTTAGAGCACTTTTAATATAATATATTTAATTTTAATTACGAATAAAATTTTACTTTGGAAATTTTTATTCAATAATAGAAATAATTAAATTATTTTTATAATGAAAAACTCCAATTGTTTTTCTATTTAGAAAAAATTCAATTATTTTTCTATTTTGAAAAAAATGCAATTTTTTTTATTTTTATAGAATAAAATAAATCAATTATTTTTCATTTTAAAAAGATTCAATTATTTTCCTATTTACAGAAAATAATTAATTAGTTGTACTTTTAGAATGAAATTCAATTATTTTTTTAGTAAAATATTCAATTATTTTCCTTTTTAAAGATAAATAATTGAATTATTTTTATTTTTAAAAAGAGATAATTGAATTATTTTTATTTTTAATTATTTCCTTTTAGAAAAAAATTGTTAATCATTCAGTAGAACCTGCTCAAGTGGGACGTTTGACTATTAAATAATTTAGATAATGGTTTTGATCGTTAGATATTTTTTTTCTTTTCCTCAATAATTAACATTAAGTAATAGAAATATTCGAAACTGATTAGAAACTCGAGAAAAATTAGAAATTAATTACTACTGCTGTTATTATGATGAAAATTGCATTCAAATAAATTGACTTTCATGATTTGTGATTTTTTTTCGTGGAGCAACTTCCTTTCGCCTGGAAGTACCTCGTGTGGAGAATCAGGTATCGTGACTCACTTTACGAAGAGTTGTATATATATATGCAACTTAAGTATATGTGGAAATGGATAGGAGAAAAAATTTTAAACCGGAAGAGAGTACAAAAGGGAAAGTCGAAAACTACTAGTATTACAAGAATTAGAAAGAAAAAAAAATTTCTTTGGACAGTTTTTTGTTTTTTTCTAAATTATTATTTAATTAATAAAATTAATTTCATGAAATTTAATTATAATAAAAAAAAGTAATTATAGTAGCAGGGTTGCCACAAAAATTTAATTTTCTTTTTCCCCTGATTTCTAGACAAAATTTAGACTTTTCCCCTGACACTAAAGAATATTCTGATTCACTTTAAAAATGATTAGAAACTCAAAGAAAAAGTTCGAATATTTGCAAATTTCTTTAATTGGAAAATTATTCGAAAACAATTGTTTTATTTTTATCATAATTTTTAATTATTATTATTTTTCCATTAAAATTAAGATTTTCAAAAATGTTAAATTTAAATCTTTTGAAATTTAATAACTTACAAGAATATTATTATTATTATTATTATTATTATTATTATTATTATTATTATTAATATTAAATTATTATCTAAAATTTTAACCGAAATTCATTTTTAAATCAATTTTTATTAGAAAATTCTACGAATTCAATTATTTAAATACAAAAATAAATAATATTTATTCAATAATATTGAATTTTATAACATTTGAAAAAAATTGAAAACTTTTTGAAGAATTTTATTAAAATTTTCAAAAATAATTGAATTCCTGAGAAGAATTTGAATAATAATTTATGGAAATAATTGAATTTATGCGATGAATTGTATTAAATTTTGTTTAAATAATTGAAATTTTGACAAGATGTTTATTAAAATTTTTCACAATAATTTAATTCTTGAGAAGAATTTCGCCACCTATTTGTAAAGATAATTTAATTATTGACGAGAATTTTTAAAAAATTTTGAAAATACCTAATTTATTTTTCTTAAAGTATTTTATTATTTTTCAAAAAAATTGAATTTTTGTAATAAATTTCAATATTTATGAAAATAATTGAATTTTAGAAAAGAATTTTATTAAAATTCCTTAAAATAATTTATTTTATATGGGGAAAATTTTGTTGTTTAACAAGATAATTGAATTCTTTTGTCGTGAAAATAATTGAATTCCTAAATGAAATTTTATTATTTATGAAAATAATTGAATGTTTTCGTAAAATTGTATCAAAAATTTTTTTCAATAATTAAATCTTTGATAAATTTTATGAAAATAGTGAATATTGAAAATTATGCGAAAAAAGATAAAAAATTAAGTAGTAATTTAACTATTTCTCAAAAATATAATTTTTAATTAACTACATAATTTAATAGTAAATATTAATAATTTAACTATTTTTCAAAAATATAATTTTCTAATTTGCTAGGTATATAATTAAAAGAGAGGAAATAAAACAATTAATTAATAATTCAACTCACTTTGGGGTTTAAATACTTTGTCTTTTTTTTCGAAAGATCAGTCTCAATCCCACCATCCTCCATGATGTTCGGGAACCTCGTGTTTTTCATGAATAGGAACAGGCACGTATTCTTTTTCCACTACTTTGTATGGTACTGGAACATGAACCTTTTCAACGTGATGAACTGGTACGTGAACGGGTACATGAACTTTTTCAACATGATGAACTGGATAAGGAATTTTCTTCACGTGATGATGATGAACAGTGTGCACGTGATAGGGAACGTGGATTTTTACGCTAAACAAAAATTATCGATATTGCAATAAAGAAACAGGAGTTTAGTAAAAAAAATTATAATTATTTAGTAATTGATTATTAATTAGTAAATAATTATAATTTATTTCGTATAATTGCAATTAATCAGTGTAATTACCTAATTATTACCTAATTAATGATATTTCATTGTTAATTAATTAATTAATAATTAGCATATTTGTAAATTAATACTAATTAATTAATTAATTAGTCGAATCGTCAATTAATCACTTAATTAATTAGGCAAATTGGCAATTCATCACTTAATTAATTAGTCGAATCGTCAATTAATCGCTTAATTAATTAGTCGAATAGTCTATTAATCACTCAATTAATTAATTAGTCGAATAGTCAATTAATCACTTACAAAATTAATAAATAATTTGTATTAATTATCATAATTATTTATTATTAAATAATTAGTAATTAGTATTTGATCATTTTTTAGCTTTAATTAGTTAATTAAACTAATATTAATTACTAATTAATTAAGTAAAAAATAATGATTAGTACCGACTGATAACATTAATAATTTCAAATAGTAATTTTTTAATATTAATTATTAACTTCAGTTAATTAAAAAATTGTGAATACTAATAAGAATGAATAATTTTTGAATACTAATTAATATCTTGATTAAAAATAATTAATTTTGAATACTAATGAAACATAATAATATTTTTGAATATAAATTAGAAATAATTTGTGAATAATAATTTCAACACTGGAAAAAAAAATGTCTTTGACTCAAATAAACGATTACTTGTCTTTTTATCAAATAAATATTTACTTGAATCAAATAATTTTTGTTTAAATGAAATAATTTTTATTTAAACCAAATAATTTTGATAACCAAATAATTTTGAGTTAAATCAAATAATTTTGACTTAAATCAAATAAATTGTATTCGAACCAATAAATTCTGTATTTGAAGCAAATGTAATTTACTTGATTTGAATAAAAGAATTATTTGATTCAAGTAAATATTTATCTGATAATAGACAAGTAATCAATTATTTGAATCAAATAAAATTTTTATTTTTCAGTGAAATAATAATTTTTGAATAATAATTTCAAATAGTATTTTGTGACATTTGATTATTAATAATTTGTAAAATATGAATTAAAAATTAGTAACTTTATTGATAGTGATTAATTGAATAATAAAAAAGTATTGATTTCGCATATAATTCTAAAGTAGATGCAATGAATGGAAATTAATACTGCGCTGATGATTGTGATTACTTACTGATGATGACTGCTGTGTCCACCTGGTACTGGAGCAGCTGTTGCTGCTGCAATAATTCCAAACACGATGAACTGAAACGTGACAGTGAATTTCTAATGAATCACAATGCAGTTTGTCACTTCTGTTCAGATACATGTGTCTTAAATCGTCTGTCGGTGTTTATTTGTATGCGAAACGTTTTCAAGTTTCTCTAATATAATACTCTTCGCTAACATCTTCTAATCAGAATCATGACAAATAATGAAAACAATTTACGTTTTCTATAATTAATTGATTTACTAGAATTATCAATTAAATGCTAAAATGATTAATCAATTAATTGAATAGTTAGTTAATCGATTAAACAATTGATTGATTAATTAAATAATCGATTAACTACTTAAATAATAAAATAATTTATTACTTAGTCGAATAGTCAATTAAATAATTAATCAATTAATTAAAAAATTAGTTAACTCTTTCAATAATTGATTAATTAATTAAATAATCGATTAGCTATTTGAATAATGAATTAATTTATTAATTAGTCGTATAAACAATGAACTACTAAAATAATTAATTAACCACTTAAGTAATTAATTAATTAACCACTTAAGTAATTAATCAATTCATTAATTACTCGATTAGTTAATTAATCACTTAAATAATTAATCAACTAATTAATTTGTCGGATAGTCAATGGATTAAATAATTAATTAATTAATTATTTGGTCAAATAGTCAATCGCTTTAATAATTATTTAACTAGTTGTTTATTCGAATAATCAATCAATTAACTAATTTGTCGAATAGTCAATCGATTCGACTAATTCGATTCAACTAATTGTTTAGTCGAATAATCAATTAGTTATTTAAAAAATTATTGAATTAATTAATTAGTGGAATAGTCTATCGCTTAAATAATTAATCAATTAATTAATTAGTCGAATAGTCAATTAGTAACTTAAATAATTATTGAAATAATTACTTAGTCGAATAGTCGATTAGTAACTTAAATAATTATTGAACTAATTAATTAGTCGAATAGTCAGTTGATAACTTAAAAAAATTAATCAATTAATTAGTCTGATAGTCAATTAGTAAATTAAATAATTATTGAACTAAGTAATTAGTCGAATAGTCAATTAGTAACTTAAATAATTATTGAACTAATTAATTAGTCGAATAGTCAGTGAATAACTTAAAAAAATTAATCAATTAATTAGTCTGATAGTCAATTAGTAACTTAAATAATTATTGAACTAATTAATTAGTCGAATAGTCAATAACTTAAAAAACTAATCAATTAATTGAATAATTAAACAACTAATTAGTCGAATAGGCAATTAATAATTAAAAAAAATAATCAATTAATTAGTCGGATAGTCAATAAAAATAATCCATTAATTGAATAATTAAACAATTGATTAATTAAATAGTTAATTAATTAATTAATTAAATTACTTATAAATATTTCTCTAAATTCATCTTTAACCATATTTCCCACTCTATAATAAATAATATAGTATAATATTTTATATATTATATTCACCGTGTACGATTTGTTTATATTTTTACTACTAAATATTTTTATACTATTTTAATTAAATGAAAATAGTTATAAAAATATTTTAGTTTTTACACATATATATGAAAGTTTCCCATAACGTCAGTAATATATTAACTCTCTCATTCCTGTAACGAATTTTTTTTTTCCTTTAAGTTAAATTAAATGATGAAATATATTTCTTAATGGTTTTATAATAAGTATAGCATTACGGAAAAATCAAATAAAATATAAATAATTGACTCTAAGTGCAAATGGAAATGCAATTGAAAGTTTTCTTCTGCGCATATTTTCGTATTCTCACTTTCTTTCTGTGCGTCCGGTCCTTATAATTGAAATTATAAATTTTCCTAATAGAGATTAGAAATTGAAAATTTATTTTTTTTACCAATTATTATTATTATTATTTTGATTGTTATCATTATTACTATTATAAATTTATTTACTCTGCTTGTGTACAACAGTGTTCAAGGAACCACAAAAAAGAACAAACAATATTTTTGATTATTATTTTTTTGATTATTATTAATTAATTAAATAAATAAAAATTATTATATTATTGAAAATTAAAATAAATATTACTATTATAATTATTATTGTAATTTTTATTTAAATTTAAAGGTGTTTTAATTTACATTCAGATTAATACTTTATCAATTAATGTTATTAATTTATTAACTCAAATATTGATTTTATTTATTGGTACTGTGAATAAATTCGCATAATTATCAGAGACAAGATAAGGGATCTAAACTTTTTAATTATTATTTATTAAAATAATATTATTTTCATTGTGTGCCTTATAATTTAATATTCATTTATATTTATCAAGATACAACGCGGATAAAGTTGACTAGATTGTAATTATATATTTGATCGGTTCCGATTGAGTTATATGTGCACGCATGTAGGTATATATAATTATATAGTGATATAAGTGAAAATGTAAGTGTAATAATGATGCTGTGCGTCAGGCATAAATATTCAGGAAGTTAAACAGATAAATTCATTTCCGTATGTCTCGCGGATGATTCATTGAGGCATGAAAAGTTATTTTACTATAAACTTATAAAGTGGGACAAATTTTTCTTCCTTATTTTATATATTTATATGCATTTCAAAATATATGTATTTCACAGGTGATTATTTATTTTTCGAAAACTCTAGTTCATTAATTAATCAAATAAAACATTATATGTGTAATTGATAGCGACTTTCTTCGACAAATGGTCATCAAATTTTTTGATGCGTGTAAAAAAAATTGGTTTTTTCTTCAATTTTTTTTTTCTTTTTTAGAAAACGCGTTTATATAATATTTAATGTCTCTATTGTTATTTGTATTTAGTTTACGTGCAGTGAAAGAAAAATTAGTTTTTAGAATTTATTCAAAATCGAGTATTTTGTTGGAATTAATAAACTTTTTCTTGTTTTTCTTTTTTTTTTCTTTTTCTTAATTTTTCTTTATTTTTTTAAATATTTTTGTTTATTCTACTTTATTTATTGTTATTATTTTATTTACTTTACTTATTTTATTTATATTCTTTATACTGCATTTATTTTTCTTATTTTATTTATATTTTTTTACTGTATTTATTTTATTTTTTATTAATTATAAACAGGAAAAATAATTACTTTTTCTCATAGGTTAGCGAATGTGGTAAAAAAATGTTATGGCAAAAAAGAAAAATAATTATTTTTAAAAAGTAATCGTAACTAATAAAAAAGTGTGTAATTTTATTTTTAATTTTCTACTGGATTTTTTTTTGTTTACTTGTTTTTTTTGCAAAAAGAAAAAAAATTTCTGAAAAATATACATGAAACTAATTTATTTTGTTTATTTACTTGAATTTAGATTTATTTATTAATATCTATGTTCTTTTTGGTAAATTATTAATTCAATAAATTTTTAATTCGATTCATTTATTGTTCTATATTAATAATAATAAAAATAAAAATAATAATAATAATTATAATAGGAATAATAGTAAAATTCAAAATTATTGTTCCTTTTTTTAATAATAAAATAATGAAGAAACGAAAATTAAAATTTTTTCTTCTTCCAAAGGATAAAAAATTGAAGAATCCAAAAGTAAAATTCCTTCTTTTTGATGATAAAAAATTGAAGAAACACGAATTAAAATTTTTTCTTTCTAATGAGAGAAAATGAAGAAACCAAAATTAAAAAAGGTTTTCGAAATAATTAATAATAATAGTTACTTATAATATTGTTTTTTATTGTTTACCAAATAATAATTAATAATTAAAAATAATTAATAATTCATTGTAAAATATTTATTCTTATAGAGTTTTTTTTATCATTTTTTTATTTTACACGGAAAAAACACTTCACTTGGAACAACGATAAGTTTTTCTAGAATAGCAAAAGTTTTATCAGAAACAACTAAAAATTATTCTAATCTAGTGAAATTTATAGTTGTTTCAAGTGAATATTTAATAATTATTCTAAATAAATAAAATGAAATATTTTTTTCCTTGTATATTTTTTATATATATATTCTTTTTTACAATTAATAATTATTTATAAAATAATTCAAAAACAATTAATAAATAACTAATAATAATTTAGTAAAAAATAAAAATAATTATTTAATTGAAAATGAATATTAATTATAACTAAAATTAATTAAAAAAAATATTAATTGATAATTGACAGCATTATTATAGCTGATAAAAATAACAAATAGTAAAAATAGCAAAATAACTATAAATAATAACAATAAGAATAATGTTCACTAATTTAGAAAAAATCACTCACTACTTAAAAATAATCACTCACGGAAAAAAAAGATTTTTTATACAGTCAAACCTTTGTGAACTTTAAATAATTTTATTCTTCTTTATACTTTTATTTATTATTTTGTTATTCTATTGTTTTATTTTGTTATTCTACTGTTCTATTTTGCTATTCACTTTTGTTATTCTAATTTAAAAGTTTAAATTCAAGGAAATTTTCAAAACTCTCAAATTCTTTTAAAAAAATTATTCAAATTTAATTTCGAAATTATTTTAATCATTTAATTATATTTTTGAAAATAAATGAAATTTTTCGTGAAAAATTTTGGTAAAATTTTAAATTATTTTTTAATTTTTTAATCGTATTTGAAGGTTTGTTCAAATTAAAAATATTGGCCCACTAACGAAGGTTCTACTGTATTTTAAAAAAAGAAAAATATTTAAAGTTTAAAAATTTTTTTTTTTGAGAGAAAAAATAAAAGTAAATGAAAATAAAAATGAGAAAAAAATGAAAAACTACTCACAAAAATGGTGTGAGAGTGCATGGTGAAATTTTAGTGTTTCGTTTACCGAACACGCTGATACAGTTCTGTCTTTAGTGGTCAGCGATGTGTTTATAAAGGACTACACGATGCCAAAATGTAAAGAGTAAAAGGGGTGGGAGCGTTACACTGTTATGTAAAATGCGAAGAAGGAAGTCAATATACATATAGTATACGTTTTGAGTTACGTATATGGGTTACAAACTCCACGTGGTTTTCAAGTTGAGAACCAGTCGCATTTCACGGAGTGAGAGAAATAGAAGAGCAGTATTTTGTTATGGTTGTTTAATTTCAAATTTTATCCCTTCTATGTTAGAAAAAAGAGAAAAAAAAATTGCTTCTATTATTTTTTTTTGAGATAATTTTCTGTGCGTGCTCGGTATTAAGTTAATTTTTTTTTTTGCCTCAATACAATTGTATTCTTATTTAGTGATCTGTGATCTTGTTAACGATATTCAAAAACTAATGGTGTACTTTACATTTCTATTTATAGAAGACAATAAAGTGAAATTTGGTTTGCAATTTAGGGAGCAAAAAAATAAATTTAAATGTATTCTAAATGCGTTAGAAATGGGAGAGAGTGAAATTTTTGAATCGCATTTAAATTTTGAATGTGGATCTTGTGAGATTTTTTTTTTTTTTGATCGTGATATGTTTCGAGAAGTTGTTCGAAAATTGCTAAAAGGAATTTTAATTTTCGTTTGTTCAATTTTTTATTGTTGAAACAAAGAAATTTTTATTGTGGCTTCTTCTATTTTTTGACATTCGAAAACCGTTTTTAATTTTGGTTTCTTCAATTTCTGGCATTAGAGAGAAAAAATTTTACTTCTGGTTTCTTCAATTTTTTATCATCAAAAAGAAGGAATTTTAATTTTGGATTCTTCAATTTTTTATCCTTTGGAAAAAGAAGGAATTTTAATTTTCGTTTCTTCATTATTTTATTATTGAAAAAAAGGAATTTTTATTGTGGTTTCTTCAATTTTTTTTCAAAGAAACAAATTTTAATTTTGGATTCTTCAATTTATCATCAAAACAAGGATTTTTGTTTGTGGTTTCTTCAATTTTTTTTCATCAAAAAGAATAAATTTTTATTCTGGTTTCCTTCATTTTTTATCATCAAAAAAACCTTTCTTCATTGAAGTTTCTTCAAGTGTTATTGAGAAAAAGAATTTTAATTTTGGTTTCTTTAAGTTCTTATCATCAAAAGAAAAGAATTTTTATTTTTCTTCTTTAATTTTTTTATCATCAAAAAATTTCTGATGACAGTTCTTTTTTAACTTTTGAAAACAATTCTCGAACGTATTCTAAATGCTGAAAAAAATCTTTAAATAAATTATAATGATGAAAATAATAATAATAAAATTCTTATTTCTTATTTTCAAAAAACCAAAGAAAGTTTTGGTTTTTGTATGTTTATCGTTTCGTTTATCTTCCCAAAATTTCTGTTCATATTTTGATATTTTGAGGAAACTTCTGGATTTTACTCTATTAAAAGAAAATTCCTCAGATTACTGTTTTCATAAATTCTCATATGAAATAAAAATTATCTATAATATTTTATTATCAAAAAAATTCTTCTGTGTAACTTTTTTTCTAATTTTGAGGGAAATTGAGAAACTTCTTTAATTCTTAATTATTAAAAAAAAAAATTCCTCAAGTTGCTGTTAAACAAATTCGAACTTGAATTTTGGGAAAAAAAATTCCTTGACTTAATCGTTTCCTTTACGATTAAAATATTATTGTTTTTTCTTCTTTCCTTAAAAAATTACTAGAAAAAGTAGAAATTTTTTGTTCTAATTTTTGAATTAATTTTACGTTTATTCTAAATTTTTCTTTTAGAATTCTTCAAAATTATTACGAATATGAAAACGATGTAAAAATTCACGATAAAATTTGTTAATAAAAAATTATTAAAATGAGTATGAAAATTGTTTAAATTTTCTTAATTAAAAAAAAATTTGAAGGTAAAAAAAAATATATAGATATGTTTAATATACATTTTGAGGCGATGCTAATAAAGAAGTTAATATGACAGATAAAATGAATTCTATAAAAAAAAAAATATTGCGTAGCTTCGCATATAAAATCACGTAAGCGCTCGCGCTCGCTTGGGGAATCCCAGAGTTTTATGGTTCAAAACTTACGAACCATACATATGTAGTTTATTATAAAAATATAGAGCGTAAAGTTTTAGAGAAATTTCGTTTTTATAATCCAGATTATAAGTATATAATCAACTTCGGTATATATACATATACACACATGCCCTCATTATGTATATCGGAGGAAAAAATATTTTTGTATTTTTCCACTTTTATGCGCGAATATATTTTTTATAGTTATTCTTTTTCCAAAAAAATCTCATAATATAAATTTGAAAATAATTTTCTTTACGCTTTCAAGAATTTCAAAGAAGTTTTTTTTGCTCAAATAAAATTATGTTAAAATAATAATAATAATTTCTGTTATAATAAAAAATAAAATAATACTAAAAATTTTCAATTAAATTCCTTTTTAAATCGGAATTAAATTTTCTTTCTTTCAAAAAAGATTTGAATGTTAAAAAATTATTTCCTAATTTTAGAAATATCGTTTTTTGAAAAAAAATCACCTTCTTTTGTATTTAAAAATAATAAATTACTTTAAACGTATTTGGTCGGATTTTATATTTATATTATATAATTCAATTAAATTTTTTAATGGAAGTTCATTTCTTGTAAAAAAAAATTTGAATTTATAAAAAAAAAAATTCCTAATTTTAAAAATAGTAAAAAAGAAATCAACTTCTTTTATAATAAAATAATTACTTTAAGCACATTTGGTCATATGTTATAATTTGATTTATATTATATAATATTGAATTACTTTTTTTAATGGGAATTTCTTTCTTCTCAAAAAAATTTGTCTTTCAAAAACACCCAATTTCTTAATTTTAGAAATAATTTTTTTTCGAAAGAGAGAAAAAATTGCTTTTTTTAATACAAAAAGTAATAATTACTTTGAACTTATTTGGTCATATTTTATTTTACATTCCTAGAACGATTTCTCTGAAAACGAGCAAACTGTTGATTATGTCAAGGAAGCTATTATTTTTGAAGAAAAAAATTTATTTCGAAGCTCTAGTAAAGTGTAATTCTAAAAAAAGTAATTTTTGAAATTAAATTTTTTTTTTGTTAATATTTTATTTTAATTAGTATTTTACTTTTCTTTTATTATTATTTAGCTTAATTTTTTTTATTATGTTACTTATTTATTTTTATTATTTTACTTTATTTTTGTTATTATTTTTATTATTATTTTATATTAATTATTATTTTACTTTACTTTTATTATTATTTTGTTTTAATTATTATTTTTTACTTATTTATTTTTACTATTTTGCTTTATTTTAATTTTATTAATATTTTACTTTATTTTTGGTAATATTTTATTTTATATTAATTATTATTTTTCTTTACTTTTATTATTATTTTCTTTATTTTTATTATTATTTTGCTTAATTTTTTTATTATTATTTTATTTTAATTATTTTGCTTCATTTTTTTTATTATTATTTTAATTTACATTAATTATTATTTTACTTATTTATTTTCATTATTTGGCTTTATTTCATTTTTATTATCAATTTTTTGCACTTTTTGTGTGATAAAAATTCTTCACTCAATTTAAAAAGCAGAAAGGCATTTTTGTCGAAAAAAAAAAAAAAAAAATTCATCAAGTGTTTGAGAATAATTATATGACCGTGGACTTGGTCGTTGCATATTGCGAATGCCATAAAGTGACCCGACAAGTGAAATAGACATCTTTAATCTTAAAAGTGGTGCAACAGGAAGTATTACACTTTACCTGTCCCAAGGTATCAGTTATAAAGGGAGAAAGTGTTTCGTAATCATAATAATCGTGTACCAGAAATGCGCTCACATTACCCATAGAGAAAAGGTGGGCCAATGACTTCCCGCAATTGATACACATCCACATCTATTACACGCATTATTTTAATATTGTGCCCTCTCCCAAAAATCCATTTCTGATATTATAGAGAATTTTTTGTCCAATTGCCCTCGCCCCCAACTGGTGAAAGTATGGCTTATAGAAATAGAATTTTTCATTTTGTTTAGAGGAATGTTCACATTCGATCGAGTGAGCTCTGCTGGAAAAAAAATATGTTTATAAAGAAATCAGTCAAAGAAAGTCACGCACGCATTGGATTCATTCCAAGAAGAAGAGGTGCGCGTCTTTTTTTTATTGACTAATTTGTTAATAAGTTGTCGTCAATTAGTTTGCTGGTATTTTCCTCGTGGTGAACTTTTCCCTCCTTTTTCTTTATTCGTCTTTCTTTTTTTATTCGTTTTCCTACTTTTTCTTTGGTCCTTTTTCTTCAGTCTTCCTCCTTTCATTTTCGTATCATGATCGAAATAGAATAAAAATTAATTAAAATCTCAATTTTTTTCTCAATGAATAAAAATAGTTTTCAATTTAAAGAAATTGAGAACGCTTTGAATTTTTAGTCTTTTGAAAAATTTTCACCACCTTTAATGTTGAAACACTATTATGAATTAAAAATTATATCGACTTACGCAAGAGATTTTTATCTTATAAAATAGTTTTTTGTTACGAACACTCATTGAACATGTAATTCGCATTTTAGATCTTGATTTAAAAAAAAACATTCCTCGCTTTCTCACTGTAAGAAATAAATATTGTTGAATAAAATTAACAATTGTGTGACATTTGATATTTATTTTAAAATCGCTCACTTCCTTGCACAGAGAAAAAATTTTAATTATTAATATCCCAATATATTATGTTGTATAAAAAATTTTTCCGTCAAGAGTCAAAATGATTTTTTAAATTATAACGAATAAGTGTAAGAAAAAATTAAATGCGCTCTTCACAATTATCATTCAGTCATTGAATTGAATTCCATTTTGCAATTATCGTTCATTCCAATCGTGAATTCTTTGCCGGAATGTTAATTGTGTATTGTTGCGTTGAAAGCAAAGTGATTCTTTATTTTTACTGTGTAAAAGAGAAATGAAACTTTTTTTCTCTTTCTTTTTCTTGTCAACAATGATTAAAAATTTATTAGATTTAATAATTATTAACAAAATTTGATGAACTACTGCAAAATGGCACATTCAAAAATTATTTCATTGATACCGTTGTGTTAGAAAAAAGATAACATCACAGAATAAAAATTCTCATCGAATACAAAGAACGATTCATTGAATAATTGAACGTTAAAAATTGAAACTTAAATTGAACGTTAAAAATCGAACAATCTTTAATTGAACATTAAAAAAGATATTAAATTTTCATTGGAAAATAATTATTTCAATTAAACGAAATTCTTTCAAATTTTACTACATGAGAGTATTTAGTAAAAAAATGAAAATTTTCTAATTAACTAGAAAGTTAATTTAAGGGAAGAAATTTGAAAGAAAGTTGATGATAAAGAAAATGAGAGATGATTGATTTTTGAAATTAATAGAAGAAAAATATAAAATTTGAAAAAAATTAAAATTGCATTTGACTTTACAATGTCGATAATTTTCAAAAATTCGGACTATTATTTCTTCTTCTTAACTTTGGTGGATGTTTCACTTTGTGGTTTTTGCCAGTCCAATGGTTTCCTTCTGTACATGGGCCAAGGTGGAATTGTGATAATTGCCGCCAATAGAAAACCAGCGCCGAGAATGTAAATTGTTTGCGAATATTGTTGAACCACGTATCCCCAAATAAATCCAATCATCTGAAATTGATTATTATCAATTAGTTCAATTAAAATGAATTATATAAATTTATTTTCTTCATTACATAAAGAAATTTTTTTTAAGTTTATATAATCGAATATTTCATTCTTATTAGAAAATTAGGGATTAATTAAAAATATTTTATTATGTAATTTTATTATTTTTCATAGTATTATAATTAGGTTTTTAATTATTACTGCTATTAAATATATTCACAAGTGTGTGTTTTGTATTTATAATTGTATAATCACAAATTGAGTTTTACACTAAAGGGAAATATTTTAACCATTTTCTGTAGATTATATAAAATTACAAATTTTTTATTTCTTTGGAACCTATTTTTATTTTGACTAATAATTGATTTTTTCAAATTATTATCGTTTTTACAAAAATCAAATTTTGTAAAATAAAATTACTTTGTAATTCTTCTCTCTTTATTTTAATCAATAATTAATTTTTTAAAATTATTATCGTTTTTACAAAAATCATATTTTACAAAATAAAATTACAAATTTGTAATTCCTTAATTTAAATCTTCACTTTTTGTTTCAATTTATTTATTAATATTTTTAAATTAATTATTATCATGAAAGATTATATAAAATTACAAAATAATTACTTTTAATTTTTCTCTTTTTATTTTAATTAATTTTTATCATCAAAGATTATACAAAATTACAAATTAGTAATTTCTTTTAAATCTTCTCTTTTTATTACATTTAATAATTAATTTTTATGTTCCTGATGTTTTGAAAATTCGAATGAACTTTCTTTTAATTAAAAATTACATTTTAAATGGAACTTATTTAATTTGTATTTTTTTACTCTTATTTTTTTCTGTAGATTAAAATAATTAACTCTTTAATTTTAATTTTTTTTTCTTTCTTTGACAGTAATGTTTAAAAATATTGTAGTACAAAAAATTTCTTTTATTTGAAAATCAAAGTTGAAAATTACATATTGTAGATAATTTACCCCGAAAAGTGTAATAATAATCCTGAAGTATTTCTCCGCCCTGGCTTGTCCTTCATAGTCCTGTAAAAATTATTTTATTTAAAACTAAATATAGAAATCAAATAATGATGATAATAATAATAAAACAATAATAACAATAATTAAAACGTTATAATCCAAAGTGCATACGTGTAAGAATAAAAAAAATCAACTAGTAACAATCGACAATAATTAAAATACGAAACCACTCGAAATTTACTATAATTAAATTATAAACGAAATAATATAAATAAATGAAAAATAAATCCAAGATTGTTCCGAAAAATTCAGGAACACGTTTAATGCTCTTATTTCATTATTGATTACAAAAAATGATGTATTAATAAAGTGTAAAAGAAAAATAATTAAGGAAAATAATAATTTCCTTCTGGATTATGAAAAGTAATTTAAAAATTCCAAAAACTAGTTCAATTTTTTAATTAAAGAAAAGAGGAGACATACGGTGAAAACTAACCTCAAAATTGAGTAAACTGTCAATTGTCACTAATTCAATTGAAAAATACAATTATTTGACAGTTAAAAAATGATTCAAACTTACCATATGGGTAGGAATGTTTTTAAAATATTCAATCCAGTCCTTCATTTTTGCACAAATAATTAATAATTGTCCTTAAATTGTGAATATGTCAAGCTGAATGTAAACAGTTTGACGCGACGTGGACAACTCACGTGCGCAAGGTCACTGCAACGCAGTGTTGCCACGTTGCACATAAAAAAGGCGGCAATATTTTTAAATTCAAATTTAAAAACGCTTGCTACTTTTTCTTTTTGATCACTAAAAATTTCTCAATTATTCCCTACTTAAAAAAAAGGCAGAAAAATAAATTGTGAAATATTTATTTGATTTTTTCTCGAAATTAGTTATTTTTAGTTTTTTTGTTTTGTTTCTTCTATTTCTATTGATTTTTTTGTAGAATTTATTTATAAATTGGAATAAAATTCAAAACATGTTTTACTACTGAATGATGAATAGTAACTTTCTTAAATAATTCAGTAATGAAGAATTCTCTTTGCGTAAAAGTAACGTTTCAATATTGCATCATATGCAAATGAATTAGAATATTGTTTAGAATACAATATTTGAACGATTTCGAAATTATCTGTTATCTGTTTCTTGCGTTAATTTATTTCAACTTCTATTACACTTAAAAAAATTTTTTTTTGTTTTTTCTATTTTTAATTTTTTTATTTTATTATTTTCTATATACTATTTATTTTTATTATTGTATTTTTTGTTTTTTCTGTTTACTTTTTTCTATAATTTCTTTACTTTAATTTTTTTATTATTTCCTGTTCTTACTAATTTAAATTATTTTTTCCCAAAGAAATTATTATTTTTATTGTTTATTATTATTTTTAATTCTTGTTCGTTTTAAATAAATTTTAAATATTTTTTATTCTTATATTGTCTCTATAATTTTTTTATTCTTGTTTTTATTTTAATTTATTTTCCCCGAGAATGAAATTAAAAATTGGTTTTTTTTTGTTTATCATTATTTTGAATTTTTATTCGTTTTAAATAAATTTTAAATATTTTTTATTCTTATTGTCTCTATAATTTTTGTATTATTTCTTATTGGTATTATTTTATGTTATTTTCCCAAGAATAAAATTAAAAATTGGTATTTTTGTTTATTATTATTTTTAATTCTTATTCGTCTCTATAATTTCATTATTTTTATTTTTTTATATTATTTTTTATTCTTATTATTTTTAATTTCAATTATTTTTCTCGAGAATCGAATAAAAAAATTTTGTTCTTGTTTATTATTATTTTTTAATTCTTATTTTATTTTTATTATTTTTTAAAATTCTTATTCGTTTTAATTATTTTTTATTCTTATTGTTTGCATTCTTACAGCATTATTGAAAAAAAAAATTTTTTTTTTGAGGAGAAAAAAATGTTCACAATATATTAAATATAGAATTAGAAATTTTATTTATTAAAATATTTAAATAAACAATTTTCTGTAAATTCTTTTTTTTCTGCCAAAAATATTTGATTTTAAATATATACATATATTTTCTTGTAAAGATTTAAAAATATCATTTTTGTGCGTTGCTATGTGGGAATTAGAGTTTTTTTTGAAAATTATATAAATGAGGAAAATGTCGTATTTACAATGAGATAATGCGTATTAAAATGATTATAAAACGATGAAATTTATTTACAATCTGCTAATAGAATTTTCATCTAGAGTTTCTTGATAAGATCTCCAGATATTTGCTGGTAATATATCCCCTTTATGCTGTGCGTAATTAACGGCGTCATTTACAGTTGGAAACAATGTAAAATAACATTCTTTTTTCTCCACAAGATCACATTTTCTTATCGTATCGAAAACCGGACCTATGGTGAAAAAATTGCAATTAAAAGAAATTTATAAATTACAAAAATAAATATTAAAAAATAAATAATAATAAATATTTAATTAATAAATAATAGTTATAAATAATAATTTATAAATTTCAAAAAGAAATATTGAAAAAGAAATAACAAATATTGATAATAAACAATAAATAATAAACAATAAATAAGGAATAATAAATAATAATAATAATAATAATAATAATAATAATAATAATAATAATAATAATTTTAATAATTATTAAGCTAATTAATTTTTTTTCGGTTAATATTAAAAAAATTGCAATATAATACAAAATTAATAAATAAAACAAATAAATAATAAATAAAGCGAGTAAAAATAAATAGATAAATTTTTTAGATAAAATAAATGAATAATAAAATAGAATAAATTTATTGTTAATAACATTATGATAGTAATTAGTAAAATTATTGTTTAGTTTAAAACATTTTTTAATTTATTATTATTATTATTATTTAAATTTTATTATTATTATTATTATTATTATTATTATTATTATTATTATTATTATTATTTATTTATTCATTTGTATCAATTTATACCATTTATATCTGAACAAATTGAAATTGAATTGATTGATTAATGGAATGTAATTTTTATCAGTTATCAGTGAAACTAAAAATAAAAGTTTTATTAATAAAAAAAAGAAGGGGGTGTTTTTTTCATTAAATTGAGATTTCAAGAGTGACGGCAGCAAAATACAGAATGCATTAGCGAAATGGACTTGAAGAATGAAAGACTAATGAGGGGGGGAAGAATTTTGACAACTCACCTGAACATCCGGAAATGTATAGAGAAACTTCGATTTTTTTATATTCTTCAACCAAAGACCGAAGCATTGCCACACCCGCTGGATCAATATGGACCAAGGCCGAAAAGTCTAGGATTAAGACTTTTAACTATAAAAAATAAAATTTTCCCATTAAAAAAAACATTTCATTTTTGAATTCCTGGTCAAACTTATAAAATAATCTCTTTTAGACTAATTTTTATTTTGCCCGGAATATTGAAAAAAAAATTTTTTTTCATAAAATTAAAAGTAATTTTTTTATAGTTCAATTAAGGACTTGAATTATCTCAATAAATTATTTTTTTATTAGCTTTTAAATTAAAAAATTTTTCTCTATATATTCGATCATTTTTTGGAATAATAGATAATAGAATAAAGAATATTTTATGGTAAATAATAAATGAAAATAAATATTTAAAAAATTAGGAAAATGGATAAATGTTGAAATATTAAAACAATGAATAAATATTTTTAAAAAAATTATAAAATAGAGTAGAAAAATATTCGACTATAATAAAAAATTCAAATTTTTATAGCTTTAAGAATTAAATATTTCCAGGCAATTCAAATATTTAATTGTAGATAATTAATAATTATAAATGTAAATTCCTCTTGGCTGGAAAAATTTTTAATTAATAAAATAAATCAAATGAATAAAATAAATAAAAATGAAAATAAAATTGTTAAAAAAAATTCAGGAAAATATATACGAATTCTGAAAATGATATTCAGATTCGAAAAAAAAATTGGTAGTTTTTTAACTTACAGACTTTGAACTCGAAAAACTAGAGTTTTTCTGTGAATAATTTTGTGTATATCTAAAAGAAGCACACATATTAAAGTTTCATTAAAATTTACAAGAGAATCTTTCGTCTTTTAATATATTTGCGAAGTAAACTTGTAAATTTTAAAAATGTATATGTGACGACTACCTGCCAGATTTTTCTTTTATATACAGAAAAAAATGAGATGATAAACATATATTAGAGACGAAAAATAGGGACTAGAAGCAAATGGGAATAAACAGAAAAAGAAAATTTTCTGTTTTAAATGTTATTGGTTTTTCCTGTCGTTTTTTTTTTTAATTAATATTTTACTTTGTTGGTGTACGGCATTCCAGAAACAGAAGAAGCTTCTTGGGAGTTGCACGTGTCCCCTTCAAAACCAACATTCGAATATCCGTCCTGAAATTAGAGCGGCAAACCTTCACTTATTATAATTTTTACAACCGGAAAATAAATTATTTTCTAACTCAGGGTCATTCCCTAATAGTTGAGAATATTAATCAATTTTCTTTTTTGTTTTATTTTTCCCCAGATGTTGCAAAATTGCGATATATTTTTATTTTTTTAATTGCACTTTATATTTAAAATATTTTAATTAAAAAAAATATTTAGTTCTATTGTTAAGGAATAGAATAAATTTTTTTATCAGTTTATTTATAATTTTATAATAAATTTAATAACTGAATTTACTTTTTTTTCTAGTTTTTTTTTTCTTTACAGTAAATTAAATTATTAAATAATTTCTTTAGGGTAGATGAAAGGAAGAGTAAAACGAAACTTTTTTTGTAAATAAAAAAAAGTGTAAAAATTAATTTTTTGATAAAAAAAATAAACTGTTAATAAATTATTTCTTCACGGTAAACAAAAAAACTGTAAATAAGTGGCAAGAAATAAAATAAACTCTAAATAAATAATTTATTTACAGTTAATAAAATTATCTTTAAAAAACGAAAATTTCTTTACTGTAAATAAATACAGAAATAAAAAAACTGTAAATCAGTCATTTTTTACAGTAAATAAAAAAAAACTCTAAATCAGTTATTTTTTTACAGTAATTAAAAAAAAACTCCAAATAAATAATTTACTTACATTAAAAAATTTTTTTGCGTTAATTAATAAATAATTTACTTACATTAAAAAAATTTTTTGCGTTAATTAATAAATAATTTCGTTACATTAAAAAAATGTTCTGCGTTAATTAATAAATAATTTCTTTACATTAAAAAAAATTGTATGGTTATTAAAAAATTAATTTCTTTACATCAAAAAAAGTGTCTGTTAACAAATAAATAATTTCTTAACAGTAAAAAAATAAAATAATAAAAAATAATGAAAGTAATAAAAAAAGTAAAATTCTTCGCATGAAATAAAATGAACTGTAAATAAATTATTTCCTTACATATTAATAATGATTTTTTTACTGTCATTATCACTTTAATTGTTATTAATTTATTTATTATCTTTTTATTTTTAAATTATTAGAATTTCAAATATATAAAAAGAAACGTTGGAGGAATTTATTTTATTTTTTTTTTAGTTTTCAGACGATTTTGCTTGATCTAATTTGAGGGAACATTTAAAACAGAAATATTGAATATTTAATGAAAAAGCTTCTACGCATAAAGCACAGTTTGTGAAATGATTGAAAGCTATGATGACTTTTTAAGCTTCTAAATTGAATCGAATTCGTTTGACATTTATTGTTAAATTGAAAACGTTAAAAGAAAACATTTTTTTGTCTTCTTTTTTTATTATTTTCGATGAAATAAAAAATTAAAAATGCTTCAATAGTAATTTGATGGTGATTCAATTAATTAATTTTTGTGTTTCATACATTTTAATATTTGAAATTATTAAATTAATCAATTGAATAGTTAATAATTATTTACTGAGTATTTACTATTAATTATTTTTTTGATAATTAATAATTATTTTAATTTGTAATTAATATAATTAGTTTCAATCATTATTTTAACAAATTCAATAATTATAATAATTGTTTTAACAATTTTAATAATTATAATAATTATTTTGATAATTATAATAATTATTTCAATAATTATTATTATAGTGGTGTATGTTTAAATAAAAAAAAATTTTTATTAATTTTATTTTGACTTTTTTATTAAAAATATTTAAAGAGAATTTTTTTTTGTTTTTTTGCTTTTTTACACGCAAGTAAAATTACTCGTAATTTTATTTTTGTAAATAAATAAATAAATAATAATTATAAAATAATGAAAAAAGAATGTGGTGACAAGGAAAAAAATGTTTTCTTTCAATAATATTCTTATACTGCATACAGCACACTTAACGTTTCTATTCTACTAATTGACAGTGCACAACATTAAATTATTTTTATTAACATTTTTTTTAATATAAACAATAATGAAGTTACCATTTTTCACAGGATTTGAGCTGTTTTTTTTTAAATTTCTATTAAGGGCATCAATTATTATTTTTCTTTTCTTCTGAAAAATTTTTACACCTGTATGAAATGTTATTTACCTTATTTGTTGATTCTGTACAACTTCTCTCTGAAATTTTTAGTCTTAACGTTAATTCCTTCTGTGGAACAATTCCGGCAATTTTGTAGACTATTTTGCGAAAATGTTGTCTCGAGGCAAAATTTAAACCTCCACAATAGTGTAAAATTTTCACTCCAGGCACTTCAACTGTCTGGAATAATAAATTAGAAATTTAAAATTAATTTGTATATTTAGTAATTATTTTTTTAAATTTGTATTTTAATTTTAATTTTTATTTGGTTTAATGTTGTTTTTAATTTTATTTTAATTTTATATTTTAATTTTGTTTTTGATTTTGTATTTTAATTCTTTTCTTAATTGTGTACTTTTCGAAAAAATTTATTTCTCTAATTGTAAAATTATATTTGCTTTATTTTTCCAATTTTTCCAATTTTTCCAATTTCTTTTTTTTTTTTTAAATATTGAAAGAATTTTTTTTTATTTTTCTCTTTTTTCTAAAATTACACGCAAGTGAAATTACTGTTTGATCATACTCCTTTGAATCTCTTCACGTCCAAGTAGAATTCAGTACCAGGAATAAGGGCTAATTTACAAGTATAAGGCTTCATTGTCAGTGTCAATAAATTTCCAATGCACAATATTGCACCAGTTAAAAGTCCATAGGCAACGTCCAAAATTACAACACTCAAAAATGTCATCATCCAAATTCCAGCGTCAACTTTTGACATTTTCCAAAATTTTACAAATTCCTTCACTTGCATCAGCATCCCTTTCAAAGCCACTATTATAATACCGGCAAGAATGCACTGAAATTAATTTTATTATGTTAATTACAAATTTTATAGAAATAAAATAGATAATAAAAGAAAAAAAATAGAGAAGAAAATTAAAACAAAATATATTTAAGTATCGAAGTGTTATTTAAAATAATTTTGGAATTAAAATTAAATATTTCTATTTAAATTTATAAATTTAATTTAAATAAATGAATAAATTTAATTTTATTTAACATTTTTTTATTCTTTATAAATGTTTAAATATTTTAAATATATTTTATTAAATAAATAAACACAAAAGAGAATATAGTTTAATTTCGAAAGTATAATAGGCGATGGTCATGGTCGTTAAAGCGTGCGTGAAGTGAGAGTGGAACTTAGGGTCAGTGGTTCGATCCCCAGCGTCCAGAGATCACGAAAAATAATTTTCTCGTTTTTTCCTAAACATTTACGAATTCTATATTTTGGTAAATAAATAAATAAAACTTACTCTTGGTAGGAGTTCGAAAAATGGTCCAATCCAGAGTAAAACACTCAATAAAATACTACAAGAAATAAAACTTGCGAGCTGAGTTTGTCCTCCCACGTTCTGTTGAATTAATGATCTCGATAAAGAGGCACAAGAAGGCATACAGGAAAAAAATGATCCTGCAAGATTTCCAAGCCCCTGAAATAAATTTCGAAAAAAATTGTTTTTTTATTCCTTTAATATATTCATAAAAATAAAAAGTAATTTTTAACTTTGTTGTTTTTTTGTAATTTTTTTCCCCCTTGTGAATTTCCATATATAGATTTGGGTGATAAATTTCATTTTTTTTTTTTTTTTTTTTGAAAAAAGTACTTTTGATAAAAAATTGGTTTTTATTACCTGCGCTAATAATTCCTGATTAGCATCGACATCGTAGTTGAGCTTTTGAGCAAATATTAATGCCATTGACATTGAAATGGTATATGTCACCATTGTTATCACAAAACTGTCCAAGGCAACTGCTTCCAATAAACTAAACGACGGTAATTTCGGTTCTGGTAAACTGAAAATTTACGAAAATGAAAAATTATTAAATTGTAATTTAATATTATTATATAATTAGTTGGTAATTGATTTTCTTAATGCAATTAGTGGAGTGGGTAATTTTAATAAGAAATTATAATAAAAAAAGAAAATTGGACGAAATTTGTAATAAAAAATTGTAAAAATAATTGTAATAAAAAATTGTCAAAAATAATTTTAACAAAAAATTGTTACAAAAAATTATCAAAAAAAATTGTAAAGAAAATTGTAATAAAAAAGTATATTTAAGAAATTGAAATGAAATTATAAAAAATAAATTATTAATAATTTAATGTAATGAATAAATAATAAACTAAAAATAAAAGAAATAAATAATAAATTAAAAATAAAAGAAATTAATAATAAATTAAAAATAAAAGAAATAAATAATAAACTAGAAATAAAAGAAATAAATAATAAACTAAAATTAAAATAAATAAAATAAAAACAATAAAATAATAACACAAAAAAGATTAAACTAAAAAAGTAAAATTACTATAAATAAAAAAATTAATATTTCAATATTTGTAAAATAATCACCCGACAGGTATGGAGCCAACGGTTATAATTCCATAATTTTCTGGTAATTTCATATAGACTGATAATAATGTTCCAAAAATAACAACAATCATTTCGATTGGAACTGGAATTGGGCAGCGCTTTGCGCATTTTGGCTGGAAAATATTTTTTTTTTAGAAAATAATTAATTTTTATTCTCTTTTATAATAGCAAAATTTTTTCTAAAAGATGCAACATTTTTTTTCTCGAAAAAAAATCTCTAAATAATTTATTTTTTATTAAAAAGTTAATTCAGAAAAAATTACCTTTAATACTTCATTATTTATCACAAGTGCAATCATTGTAATTGCAGAAAGAATTGTAGCTGCATAATTAATATTTTCTATCTGAGTAAAAATATCCACATATGTCTGAAACGATATCAAAAAAATTATACCAAAAATCAATGTTTGCTTTTAAAATAAATATAAATCGATAAAGAAAAATAAAATTAACGAAAAAAAATAATTATTTGGGAGTAAAGAAGGCCGAAATATTTTATTACAAAATAACTAAACAAAAATTAATTTCTATAAAATAGTTAAAATATTGGAGTATACAAATTATAGAAAAATTACTTTGCGAATTTTTATTTTGTTTTTTATTGCTTTCGAATTATTATATTATTATATTTTTAAAGGAAAAATTGTGAAAATTGAGTTTTGAAGAGAATGGAGAAAAAAAGTCTACATTATTCTGCTGTATAATGCATTATAATATATAAGAATAGTCACTTAAAAAAAGTTAAATTTTATCTCCCTTTAAAGCATAAAGTTCTGATTATGCATAAGAAAAATAGACCAAAGTTTTAGATGCCCAAGCGTTAGCATTCCCTTATTCATATAGAAAATTTATGTTACAACTTTTTCTATAGTTTTATAGTACTTTTCTCGTCATTAAAGTGATCTTTTTCCTCGTTCAAATATAGTTAACAGAATCTTTTTTAATATAAAACTTTTTCCATGGCAAATCTCTTTAAAAATTGAATGTTGTCAGAAAAAATATATATTACTTTATTTGGGTGTTTGAAAAATAGTTGATCGTCTCTTTATCGTAATAAAAAAAAGACCGCAAATATTGAGAAATTGATCGCGAAAAGAATAAAAGCGAAATTTTAAATATTTAAAAAGTAAAAAATTAATAAAAATTTGTAGTTTTAGAAAATATGACAAATAAACAATAAAAAATAAAAATATGACAAAAAATTCTTCTTTTTAAAATATTATAATTAATATAAAATTAATCATAATTTATGCGTAAATAAAATAATAATATAGAAAAATAAATAACAAATTATCAAAAAAGTCACAAAAAAATAATAAAGTAGGAAAAAATAGTTTATAAATAAAAAAATGTACAAAAATGTACTTTTTGTACATTTTTTTATTTATTTTACTATTTTTTCTTACTTTATTATTTTTGGTAATAATAATTGGTGGAAATAGTATACAAATAATAATTTAATAAATTAATAGTATAAAATTATGAGAATAATTTTTGAAATTATTTTTCTCTATTTCGACCTTCAGTGTACTTGAGATTGTATAAAATTATATAGCCGAACAAAGAATTTATTTTGTAAACAGAGGTTGAATTTGAAAATTACCTAGAACAGGTATAGACACGCATCGAAAGAAAAGAGACAGAGCTATTACTAATTTTTCCAGGAATAAAATTATCGGATAATATTGTAATATTTTTCCATTATAAAATGTGGAAATTTTTTTTCGAAAATATATTACGAAAACCTAAAGAATATATAATTAAATTTAATAAATAATTTACTGAAAAAAGTAGTTTCTTTTTTTTTTAATAAATAACTATTTTGAATATTTTATGAGAAAAAAAACTGGTACGTAATATTTCATTTGTCATTAATTATCATACGCCTTGGTTAATTATTTTCCCTTCGTCACGGAAAAATTATAATTTAAATAAATAAAGAATATAATTGTAATAAAATATAGCAAATAGAAATTTTAATAAAAAAAAAATTGTGATAAATAAATAACGGAGTTAGAATAGAAAAGGGGCGAATCACAGTAGAGACGGCACTGTGCGGTGTGAGAGTGGGAGAAGTCTTCTGCGCGCATGTTCGGCGCATTGCCCCAGTCGTATTCCCTTCGTCGTTGCGCGAGGACGTCCCGGGACGTCGAATATTAATTTCTACCACGTGGGTAATTATTAGAGTAATATATTAATTTTCACATTTGTGAGCTTGTTGCGCGTACTTTGTAATCATTTGCAATTGAAATCAATTATTTTTTCACAAGTAAATTATTACTGATTATTCTTAATTGCTATCGTGTTTAATTATAGTAAATAGAAATTTGATTAAAAAAAATTGTGATAAATAACTAACGGAGTTAGAATAGAAAAAAGTCGAGTCAGTGCGTAGGGGCGAATCACGGTAGAGACGGCACTGCGCGGCGTGAGAGTGGGCATGGTGGGGGAAGGCTCCTGCGCGCACGTTCGGCGCGTCGCCTCAGTCGTATTCCCTTCGTCGTTGCGCGAGGACGTCCCGGAACGTCGAATATTAATTTCTACCACGTGGGTAATTATTAGAGTAATATATTAATATTCACATTTTTGAGCTTGTTGCGTGTACTTTGTAATCATTTGCAATCAAAATCAATTATTTTCTCACGAGTAAATTATTATTAATTATTCTTCATTGCTATCGTGTTTAATAGTTGTAGAAGTACTTTTTCGGGAGTGTTCGATTATTTATTTTTTTTCGGGAGTGTCGAAATACTTTAAATTCAGTTTAGTGTTTTTTTTTAATCTTATTCGAAGAGAGAAGATTTATTAGAAGAAAGAAGATCGGATACATTTTTCCAGCACCGGATCAACTCCAATTTCATCAAATCGGCAAAAAGTGAGTCTTTTTAAACAAAAATTGTTACGGAATTTTCTGGTATGTCCGCTAGGAGTGCGACGTGATAATTTCATCGTAAGTACCATTTTTCGCCACGTTAACAGTTTCTCTAAAGGAACTTTCGTTTCTTCCGTAATAGTTTGAAAACCAGTCAACAGAGTTCGTTTCGTAGTAATTTTCCCGAGAACATTTTTCGTAAAATCGTGACGTTTTTCGTCGGGAAAGAAGAGGAAAAACTTTCTCTCTTGCGATTTAGGAAAAAAAATTTATTTTGTAGGTAAAAATATGACAAAGCCCCCCCCCCGGGAGGGGATTAAAAATAAATCTAAAATCTACGAACTTTCCTAAACATAACCTATAATTTTTTGACGGATAAATTCTGTCTTTTTAAACATAAAAAAGAAATGTCCGAAAAAGCGAATCTGTTGATCGTTTTTATATCGAAATATTCGGAAAAATAGAGAAAATATAATAAGGTAAGATTTAAAATTGAAATTTTTCAAACTCAATAGTCAGTACAAACGCAGAAGGTAGTAAAAATTCGTATAGTAGTAGAGAGAAAATGAAAAATAAAGGTTTTTGTTTACTCACGAGAATAACTTTGAAGAGTCCTTTCCGTTTCGGTAGCTGTAGACCAAAAATATCCTTTATTTGGGATGTGAGTACATGAACGGCGGCTGCAGTTGTAAAACCACTGACCAAAGTTTCGGACAATAGAGAGGAAATGACACCCAGTCGTAGAATATACATTCCCAACTATGTATTGAGTTTTATGCCAACAAGAAATATGTATATAGTTATATATATGGTTTATATATTCATAAATATACTTTCAGTGGGAATATGTATATATATAATATAAAGTGCGTGATCTAGACATTCATTTTATGATATCGTAAAAATAAAATGTACCTGCATAAGAGCCACCATGAATGTAACTGCTGCAGCAACTTCCGTTGGAGTATATTGTATATTCTCTGGATTAAGATTCGAAGTATTATTATTAACTATTGTACTATTATTTGTGTCTGGAGGAAATGTCGCGTGATTTAATACTACTTTTCCAGTCATCATGCATATCACTGCAAATGTGCCTGTAAAGATTTTTGAAAGAAGATATTAATTTTGTGTTTGATAAATATTTTTCTTGTCTTTTGATATTTTTGGTATCGAAATAGCCAAATATATTTTTGGTATTTTAGTAACAATTTTTTTTTTGGTAACGTTGATAGGACAATTACGGGGATTTTTCCAAGTTTTTCTTTGGGGTAAAGTGAGAAGTAGTTTGAGAGAAGCGGCTCCCCACTATTTGAAGGCGTAGCGTCGTTGGTGGGGGGTCGCTTCTCGTAGCGATTTTCTCGATATTTTTTCCCCCTGAACTCTTGCGCAGAGAAATTGTTTTCTATTTTGTTTATTTTAGACAAGTATTTATATACTTTAATTCATTTTTTAAAAATAATTAAATATATCTTTTTTTATTACCCATTGAATTATGTCTAGAAGTTCCGAAAATTGAGTATACTAATACTGGAAAGAATGCCATGTAAATTCCGACAATTGGGGGTACATTGCCCAAGATTGCGTATGCCATTCCTGAAAAAGAAGATTTTGAAAGATTATTTTCGTTAGACTACAATTATTAATATTTTTATTACTATTATTATTCGAATTTAGTTCTAATTAATTTTTTTATTTATTTGCTCAGTAGTAATTATTATATTTAGTTTTAATTATAATTTGTTGTTTTATAATTTTAGTTGGATTGTAATTCTTTTTGTTTTTTATTTTCTTTATTTCGTTGGCTCAAGTTTTTTTATTTTGTTTCAGTTTATTTATTTAATTATTGTTTAATATTCAGTTTATTTAGTTTGTCTTTTGTTTTTTTCATATATCTATTTTGATATTTTTTGTTTATTAATATTTTTTTTATTTGTTTATTAAAATTTTTTTATCTGTTTATTAATATTTTTAGTTTATTATTACTATTTTTAGTTCTTTGTCGATAGTTTTATTCCTTCATTAACAGTTTTATTAATAGTTTTAGCTCTTTGATATTTTCATTTATTTGTAAACGTATGATCCCAAACTTCTGAACGTTCAAATGAACGAAATTTATTTATATCTTCTTTAATTTAAATTTTTATTACAATAATTTTTTGTCGATATAAAAAAATGAATTATAAACTTTCTAAGTGTAAAATTTAAGTTTTTAATTTTTATTGCGAACAGTAATTTATAAAAATATTTCTAATAAAAAGTTCTTCGTTCATTTTAACGTTCAAAACTTGTGGATCATGTAAACGTTCGTAGCGTATTTTTAAGTATTTTTTAGCGTATTTATTAATAAATTAATAATTAAATTTATTTATTTATACCCCAATAAAAGTTAAGTAATTTCTTTAGAACAATTATAAATTAACTATTTTATTTTAAACAATTATTTTCTACATTGACTTTTATTCTTTTTTCTATTAATTATTAATGGAATTATTATTAGTGGAATAAAAATATTTGCATAGTGAAATTTCCTGCAAATTTTTCTCAGTTCATATAGAATATATTTATAATAAGATCGCAGTTTGTTAGTGAAAAATATTTTGAAAAAAAATGTTTACCTTGTGGAATGTGCATAACAGCCACTGTGAGTCCCGCAATTGTATCGCCCAGTATATTTTGTTTCCATTCGTAATTGTAAAGCCAGTCTACAATGGGCACTGTTTTTTTTATACATGCTTTTACCTCAAAGTCTTTACACTTATTTGATAATTTCTCTGAAACTAATTTAAACAATAAATTAATTTAAGTTTTTTTTTGAAAAAAATTTTTAAATATTTTAAGTAGGTATTCCCTAGAGTATATACAATTTGTTGATTTTCTCTTGCTAGTGATAAAATTAATTACTTTATAATTATTTTCTTCTCTTTACACAATTGAATTAAAATAAAATAAAATTTATTATTTTTATAAATTTAATATTTAATAATTAATTAATAAATTTCAATTATTTGGTTATTATTATTATTAATTGAAATATAATAATTATATAAATTTATTATTTGATTATTGTTATTATTATTATTTATTAATTTATTATTTAGTTACAAATGGATATAAAGATCTAGTTTTCGCTTTAAAAAATACATTTTGCTTTACTGTTTAGTGTTTTAGAAAATAAATAATAATAAAATACGATTATAGACAATATTTATTGGAGAGATAATTTTGATAAATTTAATTTACTTTATCGTTGTGTGATAGTAGAATTTTCGTTGAATGAATTGGCACTATTAGCGAATAACGATAAGATATTAAGAGTAAAACTTGCTCTGTACTTGTTTCAAAAGCCTTTTTTAATTCCACGCAGGATAAATAGAATATAATAATAAAAATAATAATAATAATAATAATAATAATAATAATAATAATAATAATAATAATGCTCATGATTTTTTTTTGTTTTTGATCTCAATATTCATTATATTATGAAGAAAAAAATAATCCGATAATAATTGTACTATTATTATTCGACAGATATAGAAAAAAAGTTTTTTAACCTTAAAACATAAAAATATATCTTGAAAAATAAAAATTTAGATCATTTACTGTTATATCCATTTTTAGAAATTAACTATATAGTCTATTAATTTTATCACTAATAGAAGACTATCTGTGTTTGACTAAATATTTTTTTTTTGAGTGAAAAATATTTGTTTACAGTATTGTCTTGTTATTTTTTTGATTTTGGTTATTTTTTTGTGTTTTATTTATTTATTTTGATTTTGTAATTTTATTGTTTTTTTTTCACTTTTTTATTTTTTTACTTTTTTTTGTTTTTGCTTTTTTCTTTTTCTTGTTTTTGAAAAATAGTTTTGACAAAAAAAAGAAAATTTTTTCGAATACTTAAAATAAGATTTTTTTAATTAAATATATAGATAAAAGATATAAATTTTTCAGCAAATTTTCTTTTTATAGAAAAGGAAAATTTTCTCACTTAAAATAAATTTTTTTTAAAATTAAATATATAGAAAATTAAATAAATTATTTATCAAATTTTCTTTTTTTAGAAAAGGAAAATTTTCAAGAATACTTGAAATAAATTTTTTTTTAAATTAAATATATAGAAAATTATGACAATTGTTTACCAAATTTTCTTTTTATAGAAATAAAGGAAAACTTTCTGGGATATTTTAAAATAGAATTTTTTAATTAAATGTATAAAAATGATTAAATTTTCAATTATTTTTCTCTTAAGTGAAAAAAGAAAATTTTCTCGAATACTAAAAAATTTTTTATAATAAATATCTTTACAACGAATCTAGAAAACAAATTTTTCGACAATTATTCTTTTTAGGGAAAAGAAAATTTTCTCGAATTCTCTATTTTTTTAAAATTAAATTCATAATAAATTTTGAAATAAATTTAACAATTTTCCTAGCCAAATATTTCTTGTGACATTGAAAATGAAATATTTCCCTTCGCTTATTATGTTTATTAGAAATTCTTTTTCGTAAAATTTTTTATAAACTTTTGATTTAAATGAAAAGAATAAAATTTATTTTACTGTTGAAAATATGCCAATATTTTAACTTTTTCTGTTTTTTTTCTTTTTTTTTCTTTAAGAGAGAAAAAGAAAAGAGTGAGAGAGAGAGAGAAAAAGTGAGAAGAATTGTCACTCGTAAAATATTTTGGCACAAAATAAGTTACGGCACTGTTTATTATAGATGATTCGTAATACTCACGTGGTGTTTGAGATTGTGAATACTGTCCAATTCGATGCAATTCATCTTGCTGGTAAACTGGTCGGCGTACCACCAATTCCGGTAAAATTGCTGTCATTTCGTCACACAAAACGTCTATAATGTTTATAAAAAAATTAATTTCCTATTATTATTATCATCATTATTATTATTATTACTATTATTATTATTATTATTGACAATATAAAGTCTAGTAAATGTCATAATATTTTCTCTGTAATTTAATTAATTAGAACTGATGAATACGCTTCATTGGATTAAATACATATAGGTTTACTATACTCGTGCCTCAATTTATTGCAAACGAAAAGCGTCATCCGGTTTAGATAGTAAATGCAATTGCATCTCTTTGTTTATTCGTGTGAGTATTTATGCGTGAATTTGTATTTGTGTGTGTGAGTGAGTGAGTGAACTGCCTTTGTGTGAATGTAAGTCAGCTAAAAGGTGAAACAAACAAAACCCCGCGAATCAACATTAAAATTTCATAATCGATTTTTTACATTCTCATTTTTCTCTTTTGTTTTATAGACATTATACTATTCATAGAATGGAGCGATATAGATTATTATATACACGTGGCGTTAAATAATTGACATTTCTTCACCTCTCAATATGTTCCCTCAATTTTCTTTGAGCATTTAAATTGTCTTATTTAAGAAAAATTTCTCGTAAACTGACATTATGCAATCGGACAAATTTTATTAATTTAGTGTAACGGTGGGATTTTTTTTTTTTTTTTAATTGAATTTTAACTTTATTTATTTGAGTGCATACATAATAATAAAAATAAAAAAAATAATAATAACAAATATTTTAATAATAAAAAAAATGTAATAGAAGTTTTTTTTGTTTATTATAAGAATTATTATTATTTATAATATATTATAATAATTATGATTTATAATAGAAATTTTTCTATTCTCATTTTTTATTATTAAAATTTCAATTTAAAATTTTTGAAATTCACCAATAATTTAATAATTTCAATAATAATTATTTTACTATTATTTAATTTTTTAATTATAATTTTTTATATTCTTTAGATTTTAATTATAGTTTAAAAATAACTAAATTGATAGTTAAAAGTTAGTCATTGATTCAAATTACTATTTTACTAATTACTAAGTAAATTTAATTAATAATTAGTTATTTTTATAATTAATTATTAGTTATTTTTATTACTAATAATTATCAGTTATTTCTAACTAATTTGGATTTAAAGAGTTTATTAATTTTTTATTATTGTTTGTATACTTAAACTTTTGTAGTATTTTTTATTGTTAACATTTTATTATTCATAATATTAATGAATATCACTATTAATGTTAGCAATTATTATTATTAATATTATTAAATTTAGAAAATTGTTAGTGAAAAAATTGAAAACTTTAGATTTACAGATAAAAAAATTGATTTTGAAACTAATATTGTTAAATAAAATAATAACAATAAAAGTAATAAAAAAAATAATACCAAAAAATAATAAAAATTAATTACTGTTATATTCATGGATCGTTATTATTAATAAAAAATTGATTCTGAATAATAATATTAAAGTAATAAAAATAAATAAATTCATAAAAATTATTATAACGTTTGTTTTGTAAAATAATAATATTATAATTTATTTATTTAATAATGTTATATTTAAATATAAAATTGTTTAAGTAAGTAACTTATCAATTATCAATTATTTAATTTAAGTAAATTAGTCAAGTTTTCTATTATATTATTTATATATTATTATATTAACAAAATAATTTTTCAAGTCCAAACACAATATTTTTTTTCCTGAAATCTTTCCAGTGAGCAAAAAAACTTTTGAATTATTTTTTGGTAAATTTTTTTTTTTTTGTGAGAAAAGTCGTTAAATTTGAAGTGAATTATAATATTTTGGATAATTCCATGAATAGTAAAAGTAAAACGTGGCAAGTTGACAGAATTTTTTATCGATAAGTTAACAATAGATGTGAAGAAATGTTTGGATTTTGCCTACACACAAATGTACAATATGTCATACGATTTTTATTTCGTTGTAATTAATAAAAATTAATTTGGAAAAAAAAGAGAGGGAAAAAAATACTCTTCACGATTAATTATAGAAATTATTTACCTGACATCATGATTATACGGTTATTTGTTTTTTTTTTGTCCAAATTAATTAAAAAAAAAATACACAAGCACACACAATTTTAACAAGAATTAACTTGTCAGAAAATAAATATGAACTGTCGTGAGAGCCAGCTCGAGCAACTCTGTTTCCGACGATACTGATAAAGTGATTGTGCATAAGCTGCTCAGGTTTTTAGTCCGTGTCGTTTATTGTTTAAAAAACAAAAAAAAATTTTTTCTTCATAATATCTCAAATCTTTGGTGATTATAAAATGAGATTATTTCTAGATTTTTATGCATTGTGTCTCATGTGTGTTCCTTCTTTTTTGTTTAAATGTTTTAAACATTTCTGAATGTTTGAAAATTGAATTTTTTTCTTTTGCATAACTTCCGGGTTATAAACTAATGTTGAGTTGAAATTTATTTGCTAAAAACAAAACAAAAAATAATTGTTATCTTTAACATTTGAAGATAAAAGAAAAAAAAGAGGAAAAAATGGAAATTAGTTTAAAAATAATTGGTAAATTCTTGTAATGCATTTTTAAGTAGTGCAGTAATTGGGAATTTTACAACACGTCAGGTTTTGTAAAATTTGTAATTAATTTCCAGGAATTTTTTCGAAATCTAATTTTAATTGTCTAACAAATTTTGACTTGTGATATTTAATTTGAAATGAAAAAATTTGTTGTTTGCTTTTCATTAAAACCGGCTTTTAATTATTTTGTATAATAAACAATGAACATACGAACAATTATTTAGCTCGTTTTTGTTACAAACAATAATTTTGTATATTCACTGAAAAAAATGTATTAGATTCAAATAAACGATTAATTTTCTGTTATCAAATGAATATTTATTTTGAATCAAATAATTTTTAAGTTAAATTAAATTTAAATAACATTTTATTTAAATTAACCTGAATTTAAATTTAATCTAATTTTAAATGTAATTTTAAATTATTAAAAATTAATTAAAGTAACTTAAATTAAATTAAATGGTTATTGAGTCAAATACTGAAAATATATAATTAAATAATCAAATCTTGATTATTTTTTTTGATTGTATCAAATATACAATTTATTTGTTGTAAATAAAAATTTTATTCACCACAAAGAAAATTTTTATTTGAACTAAGTAAATAAAAATATTTTTGAACCTAATAAATTTTTTTGAACGAATTTGAACAAAAAAACACTTTTTTTGACCAAATAAAATTTATTTGAACCAAATATAATTTGTTTGAATCAATTGCAATTTATTTGAACCAATTGCAATTTATTTGAACCAAATAGCATTTTTTTGAACCACATAACATTTATTCGAACCAAATAAAATTTATTTGAACCAAGTGACATTTTTTTGAACCAAATAAAATTTATTTGATGAATAAATAAAAAGTTTAGTTGGCTCTGAGTCAAATATATTTTTTTCTGGGCGTATAATTGTATAATAATTAAGTCTGAATGAATAAAGTAAATATTTTGATAAACAATATTTAAATTATTGTTAAATAAAATATTTATATTAATAATGAAAAAAATATTTTCTAAATAAAAATAATATATTATATTATAATAACTTTATTATTTTAATATAATATATAAAATAATAATTATTATATTATATAGTGAATACAAAAGTAAAAAATTGACGCGTGTTTGCTATAATGTACAGAAACGATAATAGCGAGCGCAAAAGACGAGTAAAAATTAGCGGAGAAAGAGAAGAAGAAAGTTAATTATTATTGATAAAGGCGTGTAATCGTAAAAGTGTTGTTTAATAGACGTGAGGTCGTCATGTGATCAATTTTATGTAAATCATAAGACCGGTTTTTGTGTCATATGACTGAAAATAAGCGCGAAAGAGTGAGATAACAGTTCATGAAAGTATATTGCAAATGAGTTTGACGCAAAATCACAGAGTGCTAACGTTTTTCAATGTTATCGACATTTTCGTATATAATTGCAGCGAGACATTGATTTTCTTTATCCATGACGATATTTATCTCAAAAATTTAATTGAAAATCTTTTATTGTAATGTAATGGTCACTATAAGGTGGTACGTAATTTTTTAATGAAAACTCACATCAAAAGTAGTCATTTATCATTATTTTTGCAAATTAGAGATTTTTTTTCCTAGAATATTCGAGAGTGTAATTATTTTGACAGGTATGTAATTTTTTTTTTACATTTTTACACGAGTTTTATTTACATTTTATTATGTAATTTCTTTAATTGCCAATGTTTTTTTTATTGAATGAAACTTAAAAGCCTTTTGCTATTTGAATTGATTTTTTTAAATCGGTAGTTATTTTTTGAAAAAGCTAATTTTTCTTTCGGTTTTTTCGAAATTAATATTTTTATATTTGTAGTTAATTTTTTAAAAAAGTAATTTTTTTGTTTTATTTTTGAAATAAATATTTTTAACAAATATAAATGTAAATGTTTGTGAGAAATTATAATAAATTTTGAATTTTTATAAAATAAATAGTATTTCAATAAAAAAAACTTACAAGGTAATTTTTTCTTCTTAGATGATCGTCAATTTTTTGCTTCTTGTCACTTTCACGGAATAGAAAAATGCATAATAATTCAATTCTTGGTTACCTGAAAAAATTTTAATTTCGTATTATTTTGAAAATTTAGTAGTAAAAAAATGTATTTAAATATTTTTTAAAATGTAAAATAAAATTTGCCAAGTAAAAATTAAAAATTACATAGTTACAAAAAAATTGCAAATTAAAGATAAAATTAATATTCGAGTCATTTAATTAATTATCTAATATTTATTCATTAATAAATTTATTAATCTATAATTAATAATTATTATCAATATAATTTTTTTCTAAATTTATTAAAAATAAATTAAAAATAAAAATTCATAATTAAAAGAATATAATTAATTTCTAAATTTATTGTGAATAAGAATTTTTAATTAATAATTATAAAATGTAATTTTTTTCTTAAAAATAAAACTATTTTAATAAATTTGATTTCAAAACTGATCAAATTTAGTAAAATAATTTTATTCATTTAATTATTAATTTTTAAAAATAATGTTTGTCTAATGAATTTCTTTTGTCGTTTTTATCGTTTCACACCTGTTCTAACCAAATTTTTTGTGATTTCGTCACTGCTATAATCTTGACATTATTAAAGATGTTTTCTTTCATTTTTGTATAATTTTCATTCTTTAGTGTTATTAAAAAAATAAGATTTATTAAACAAAAAAAAAATTATATTGTTATATACAAAAAAAATATAATATGTGAAAAATATAATTTCTTAAAATGTTTAAATTAAATTCTTAAAATTCATATATAATTTTTTAAAATGAAAAATATTTCTCTACGTCATTCAGAGGTACATAATTTATTATATTATAATTGAATTTACTAATATAATTTATTATTCTAAAGTGTATTATAATTTTTACGTCGAAACATTATTTACACAAATTAACATAAATAAATAAATGTATTTATTTACCTTCACACTTAATAATGATAATTATTTATGAAAAATAATAATTTATATATAGGTTAATTTTTTTCTACAATTTTTTTTTCTTAATCACTTTGTAATAAAAAATTCTCAAAACGTTTATATTATATTATCTTAAATTCATTCATAAAATTACGAGCGAATAATAATCTGTTCTTGTCTGACGTGACTGAAATCGTTTTACTTTATTCATCTTGAAAAATTTGACTGAAATGAAGACTGAAGTCTTCATTTCTAGAAAAACAAAAATATTTCCTTCGTGATTAATTTAAAAAAAAATTGTTTATTTATTTTCTTTATTGGCAAAAAACTATTATTCGAAGGTAAAAAAAACAATTGAAAATAATAATATGTATTTGTTAGATAAGATATTCTTTTCAGAGGTTATGTAAAATAAAAATTATAATATTGAAAAGTTCTAGGATTTTTTTTTTTTTGAAGAAGCGAAAAATATTTTGAAGGAAAAATAACAGAAATATATTTTATTAGTTTATTTATTTTTTGTTTCATTATTTAATTTTTTGTTCATTAGATATTTTTTTGTTTATTTTTTCTTTTTATTTGTTTACTTCATTTGGACTAAATTTTCCACTAAATTTCGATTATTAACTATTTGAAAAATGACTACAACTGCAATAAAAATGAAAATCGTTATTTAAAAGTTTTGAAATATTATGAATTACGTTTTCCACCTAACGAACTTTTAATAAAATAAAATTTGAATTTAAAAAGGAAATAAATAAGTTTAAGAAATTTAGGAACGGTAATATTATTAGTTTCAATAATATTACTGCGACTGCAATAAAAATGCAAATCGTTAATTAAGAATTTTGAAACATAAATTATGTGTCTAATAAAATTTTAATTTTCATTAAATTTTATTTTAATCAAAATATAATTTTAATTTTAATTAATTTTAATTGTCATTAAATTTTATTTTAATATAAAAATTAAATTTTAATTTGAAAAATAAATATTATTATAATAAATATTATAAATAAATATTATTATAAAATAAATTTTAGAGAAGGAATTTAATTATCCTTAAATTATTATTGTCAATGTTCCAAAAATTCTTTACTTTCAAGGAATTGAATTATTTTTCCAAAATATTATTATTCAATACCTATAAATTATTATTTTCATTTTTTTATAACAATTATAGATAATTATTTTTAAAATTTCTTTGTAGTCAAATTTTTGAATATTATTTAATACTTAATATTTATTAACAATAATAATATTCTTATTGAAGAATGAAAATAATAATTGATACTGAATAATAAAATATTGCAAAAATGTTTCTTTTTTTTTGCTCACGGGATTTTTGGAACTATAATTAAAGGAGCAATTTTTAAAACTGAAAAATAATAATAATAAAATAATAATGAAAATAAAAAAATAATAATAATAAAATAATAATGAAAATAAAAAAAATAAAAAAATAAAATAACCTCGAAAATTTTTTGAAGAAGATTATTAATTACTTTCTTTTTAATAAACAAGAATAGTCAAAATAATTTTTTTTTTTCGAATAGTAAAAAAAGTATAGTAAACATTTTTTTTTAATTAATATGTTAGCAATTATCAATTTTTAAAAAATAATTATCACATAAAGAACAGAAAACAAAAAAAACATGGAAAAGCGAAAAGAAAACTGAATAATAAAAAAAGAAACCCGACTCACGTCAATTAAAATAATAAAATGAGAAGAAAATTAATTATAATTAATTATCAACAATAATTAATAATAAAAAAATGGACCAAGAATAAGAAATAATGAATTATACGAATCAACAACAGAATGTATTATTCAAAATTTAGTGAAAAAAAAATCGCTGACCTTTCTTTTTTCCCTTATAAAGTGAAAAATAGCAAAGAACTCATCTCAGGAAATGACGAAACCACAGTGAATTCGTTAAGAGCACCATAAATAGAGAGGAGAACGAAAATAAATAAATAAATAAAAAAAATGCCTTGCCACTTGACTAATACATTGCACTTACTTTTCTGAAGCAAATAAAAGAAAAGAAGAAGAAGAAGAAGAAGAAGAAAGAGGGAGAGGGAAAATTCGAAAATAAAATGGAAATAAAATAGTTTAAAAAAAAGGGAAGATACGCAGATAAAGAAGCAGTCGTGGGGAGAGTTTTAAATTATCCTCCCTGATTATCTTCTCTCGGTCCAAAGCGGATGCTGCGCAAACTTTTTCGGTGATTTAAAATTATTAAAGCACTCTCAGTCTGTTGCTACCACTGAGAAGTGCAGACTAATACTAAGTGCATTCATAGAAGCTTTGTAAATAAAGGAATATAACGATCAAGATTTCTCTGATCTTGACAGAAATCACGAGGTCTTACGAAACTCTCGTAACGTGTATTCCGGTTCCCAATATCTTTTATAAGAGGTTTTTTGATCTTGACTTCTAAATACCTGGGTGAAAAAAATACTTTTTATTGTTATTGATAAAATAGGTGCGGAAAATGAGATAAAATTTTCTTGCATCTTTTCATTCATTAATTCATTGAATAAAATTTACTGTGTGTGGACCATTTGTTGTATACGTGTCGACAAAGTAGGCACCTACTTTTCTTTTTTTTTTTTTAATATTGTATTGTATATAAATTCGTTGTTTAAACGGTCAAGCGCACGTGGTCCAGCTGACCCTTGCTGCGTTTAAAATCGGCCCATGGTCAAACAATTGACCTTGAATTTTAACCGGGCACAATTTAAATTCGATGCACTTTCTTATTATAGTTGATTTTTTTGTTGGATTCTTTCTTTTGTCTCTTTTTGTTGTTTTCTAGTTTTTGCTGTTATTTCCACTTCTGTTGGTTTTTCTACTTTTTGCTGTTTTTCCATTTTTGTTGTTTTTTCCACTTTTGCTGTTTTTCCACTTTTTTTGTTTTTTCTACTTTTTGCTTTTTTACATTTTTGTTGTTTTTTTCCACTTTTGCTGTTTTTCCACTTTTTGTTGTTTTTCCACTTTTGTTGCTTTTTCTATACTTTTTGTTGTTTTTCCATTTTTGTTGTTGTTTTCCACTTTTGTTGTTTTTTCTACTTTTTGTTGTTTTTTCCACTTTTGTTTTTTTTTACTTTTTGCTTTTTTACATTTTTGTTGTTTTTTCCACTTTTGTTTTTTTTTACTTTTTGCTTTTTTACATTTTTGTTGTTTTTTCAACTTTTGCTGTTTTTCCACTTTTTGTTGTGTTTTCTATTTTCTGTTGTTTTTTCTCCTTTTTGTTGTTTTTTCTACTTTTTGTTGTTTTTTCCCTCATTTAATGTTTTTTTCCACTTTTGTTGTTTTTTTTACATTTTTTTCTACTTTCTGTTCTATTTTTTTGGCCTTTTTTTGTCTTTCGATAATTTTTTAATTTGTTAGAATTTGCAGAGAATTTTCTTTGGCACAATTAATAGGCGAGAGAAAGAGTGAAAAATTATTTTAGTAGAATTATTTTTTTTTTTAATAGTAAAATTCGAAATTTAACGAATACGTTGGTTCAGGGAAATGATCTTTAAATTTTATTATCAAAAGAAAAAAATGACTGAGTTGTAGAATTATTTTTATATTAATTTGTATTTTTGTTTTTCGAAAAGATCAATTTTATCAGGAAAAATTGCTTTGGTGAATAAATATTGACGAGAGGATTTTTTTCTGTACTAAAAATAGAATTTTCTTTGTATGAAAATACGTTTCCCTTGAAAAAATTAAATTTCCGGTTCTTTTTAATTTTTTTTAATTAAAATAGAATAAATATTTTTTTTATACTCAAACTATAATTTTTCTACCAAACATTATTTTTTTGATTTACAGAAAAAATAAGTTGACATGTGAAAAGATTGTTTCTACTTGAAAACTTTAATTTAAATTAAAATGAATTCTTTTTTTTATTGCAAAAATTAGAAAAATTAATTTTTACTAATAAAATTATTTTTTCTGGATTTAGTTGGAAATTTTAATTTGTGAAAAGACAAATTTTTCTAATTAAGAATTTTAATTTCAATAAAATCAAATTTTTTATTTAAAAAAATTGGGAAAATTAATTTTTTCTATTAATATTCGGGTTTTTTTTTATTTAATAGAAAAGCTTATTTCACATTTTTGGCTTATTTTCACATTTTTTTTGGAAAAAGAAGAAAATTGACGAAATAATTTTTTTCTTCTTGAGAAGTTCTATATTAATTGTTTGATTGATTGATTAAATTTGATAATTGAAAGTTAATAATTAAAAATTAATTGATTAAATAAATTAAATTGAAAATTAATTTTTCTTACTAAAATTCTTTTTTGATTAATAAAATTCTCCTTTGATTTAAAGTTGACTGGGACGACTGAGAATTCAACGGTTTAATTTTTATTTTATTCTTTTTCTCTAATTGTTCATAAATTCATAATCAATTTTCTTGAAAAATTTTTCAATCAATATTGCTTGAAAAATTTATTTTTTTCACTCTTGTTGCAAAAAAAGTTATTATTTTGACAAGTCTCTTTTATCTACACATAAAAACTGGATTTTCAACTCGTAGAATAAATTTTACCTTGAAAGAACTTTGTCCAAGTATAGATAAAAGTAAAGTTCTTAATTTTTACTCTCAAGAGTAAATTATGAGTAAATAAATTAAATTAAAGAAATTAAAAATAAATAAATTAATTAAAGAAAAAGTTTCCATGAAACGGTGATTTTTTTTTCTTCTCAAAAATAATAATTTTATTATTGTTTTAATAACAATTGAGAAAAATAGTTATTCTATTTTTAAAAAATCAAATAGTACTGTTATAATTTTTACGAGATTTTAATGGATAGGATATTAATTTAATTGCAAATTGAAATACTATTGAATATGAGGGAATAATTTCCGATGAGTGATGCACTTTTTTTTTTTTACTTTTTACTATCTTTTGTTAATTAATGATCCGGTAATTGAACATTTACTTTTTGAAGTGAATGATAATAATAATATTGCTAAATGGCTCATGGACAAATAGTATAAAAATTATAGAAAAACCAGTTGATTAAATAATTACCTTGTTAGTTAATTTTTACTCTATACTGAAACGTATTTATTTTTTCTTTGAGAAAATTAAAATTTGGAATTAAACGAAAAAATTTTGTTTTACACAATGTAGTATTTGTGATAAAAAAAAGATTTATCACCAAAAAAAATATGGAGCAGTTTGGAATAATCAATTTTTAAATATTTCCACATTTTTAACAGTGAATGTATGTTTTATTAAAAAACTTTTTTTTTATAAAAGTAAATTCTATAAATAAAAATATTTTTACTGTATCAAAAAGTGGCAAAGAAAAATGCGAATGACAAAGAAAATTTTTCACTGACAAAAGGAAATTGTTCTCTTTAATTATAGGGTTAGAGAATAAAAATACGAACTAACCTTTTGTTTTCTAAATGTATTTTCCCAAAAAAAAAAAATAATTCAACTCACACAAATTTACACTCACAAAAAATAGCACGTGACATTTCAAAAAATGTAATTTAAACGAAAAATGATAAATTCAAATAGATGCACAATTTTTCAAAGAAAAAATTTATATAATTTCACTATTTTGTAAAATAAATACAAAAATTTGTAAATTACTACAAATAGACAAGAAAAAAGTCACAATCACGGAGAATTATTATAAAAAACAAAATTCACAATCGCGGAGAATTTTTGAGTGTCCTACGCGGGTTATTCGAGGCAAACGAACTCAATGGCAGACTGAAGAAAATTGGAAGAAAAAGTCCCAGCAACATTCAAGGTATACACAACAGAGACTAATTAGTCATCTCACTGATTCATATACATATATATACATATGTTCAGTGTGTATGGCTATACAGTTTTTATAATTATATCTAACAGTGACTAAATAGCCTACTTTATAATTGTTTTAGAAAAAAAAAAATGTTTACTGTTGCAACTTTTTTTCTCTTTTTTTGTTTGAAATTGTGTCTTTGTGTCCCTTTATAATATATTGAAAATATTGATAAGGAGCACCCTGTATAGAAATTTACACGAGAAACGTTGAAGGCACAGAGAGACTCGACAGTGCCTGATATTTTTATCGACGAGGGAAACAAGTTTCAGCCTACGTAAAATAGCCCAACAGCAACCAATTGACTTGCTCAAAGAGAACTCGAAATTATAATATTGCAAAAAAAAAAAAAATAAAAAAAATGAGAAAAAATATGAGAAAAGGAAAAATTTATCTCAGTGATTTTAATAAAAGGTGCATCACTGAATATATTCTACGGTTGAATGACATTTAATGGTTTTTCTCGAAACAATTTTTTTATTGTTTTTTATTGGTCCGAAATATAGAAAACCTTTTTTTGTCTTATTAGAAGAAGGGTGATAAATTTATAAAAGGGAGAAAATAATTTTTATATAATTATTTATTTATTGATTTATTTTATTAATTAATTAATTAATTTATTTATTTATTTATTAACAATATAATGGACAAAGTTTATTTTGACCATTTATAATAATGAACAAAAAAAAATTACAATATTTATTGAATTATTAATACGAAGGAAAATTAATTATGTATTAATTTTACAATTTATTAACATTAATTAATCATTAATTACTTGATTATTAATTATTTATTGCTAATAAATAATTCTTTGTTAGTAATTTAATTCATTTGGTAATTAATTATTAGTTACTACTAATTTATTTTATTCTGTTAATTTAATTAATTAGTTACTAATAATTAAATCAATTTGATTTAGTATTTACAATTAAGTTAATGAATTAATTACTATTAATTTAATTAATTTGTTTCTATTTTGATTTATTTAATTAGTTACTATTAATTTAGATAATTAGTTAGGTACTCTTTAGTTAATAAGTCGATAGTAATTAAATTGATTAATTAGTTACTATTCATAAAATAATTTGTTGTTTACTATTAATTAAAATAATTAGGTACTATTTAAATAATTAGGCACGATTTAAATAATTAGGTACTATTTAATTAATTAATTAATTAATAATTTGCTATTAATTTAATTACTTAATATCAATTCAACTAATTAGTGACTATTAATTTAAATAGTAAGTTACGTACTAATTAATTAGTTACAATTAACCAGTTAATTATCGTTAATTAATTATGGTTAATTAATTAGTTCTTAACAAATCCAATAATTAATTACTCTTTACTTTAAAATTTATTTAAAATTTATTTTCAATAAGTATACAATTCAGTAGTAAAAATTTTACTAATAATTAGTAGAATTAGTAGAAAACTACTCATTTCATGTTGAAATCTTTATTATAGTTAAAAATATAAAGTTTCACTCTTTAAGTAATAAATTTATTTAATTAATTTACAAAATTTTTTTAATTAGTTGAAGATTATTATCAAATTTTTAATTTTTTACTTTTAAATCAGTAGTTTCCTACTAAAAATTAGTAAAATCTTTTACTATTTAATTATTGGGAATCGAATCCTGACTTTTTAATTAGTAGAAAATTGGGAATTAAAATTTAATATTCAATTCTAATAACAATTTGTATTAATAATTAAATTATTTATTTTCAATTATTAAAATTACTAATTGAAATTAAGTATTCAGTTTTAATAAATGTATTAACAATGAAATTATTTATATTCGCAATTATTAAAATTATTTTCTTTCCTAATAATTCACTTTTAATTGTAATTTGCGAACTAATTAATTTTTTTTTCATTATTAATATAATTTTTTATTAATCAATAAATTAATTTTGGATTATTTAATTAATTACCTTTGGTTTAATAAGTAGAAATGTCTTTTTTCTCCTTTTTGAAGCACCAATGTTTTGCGAAAAAAATTTTTTTTGTCTATTTTTGCTTTATTTTCGAGTAAAAAAAAAACAAAATTGCCAATAAAAAAAATGATAGGAAATAGCTGCACTAAATAAAATTTTTCAAACGATTCTCCTCTTTTTTTATTGAGCAATTTAAAAAATTGTTGCAAAACGCGTGACACAAATGCAGTTAACGTCATGGAAGTTCAGGAAATCGCATTTTTGTTTATCTTTCAAGCACATTTTTTAATTTATCAATAATAATTGTTTAGAATGCACGTTTTTTTTTACATAAATGTCAGTAAACAACGACTTTAATTTTCCATTTATAATTTATAATTTACAATAATAGATAAATAAAATAAATTTATTAAAAATTTGTTTAAAGTAAATTTTAAAAAAAGTAAGAGAATAAAACAAAAAATTAGTTTATTGAAAATAAATAAATAAAAAGAGATTTGTTATTTTATTCCATAAATTGAATAATAAATAATTGAACAAATTCAATTGAGGCATTTTGTTTGTAATAAATAAATTAGTTTAACGAATAAAAAATGAATGAATAAATGAAAAAGTAAATTAATAAAATAATCATTTTTCTCTGTATAAGAAAATAATAATGAACTAATTAGGTCATGTAATTTTTGTTAGACAGAAAGCGTATTTTACCAGAAATTTGTAAAAAGAATATTTCTCTCACCTGTCAGATTTGAAAATGCAAAAATCTCATTTTACGTTTATTTCTAAAATGTAAATTTAAATTAAAATTTTTTAATCAGTATAATTTCCAGTCACAATATTGTTTAATTAGTTTTTTAAATTGAACTTTCAAGTAATTATTTTTAAAGGGAGGATTTATTTATTTTTTTCCTTTTTTATGCCTTTATTCGCTTGAATAAATTTATAAACGTTAAACTACACGAAACACTTCATTACGGGGAACGAATGGACAATCAACTGGTGCGATAAAAAATCTATTTTTCTTTTTTGTAAGTAAAAATGAAAGAACAAAACACTATCTGTATAAAACTATTCCATTCTCACACTAAAACGGTCAAATACTTTTTGACTTCATTTTCTTATCTATGACATTTTTTTTAAATAACAAAATTTTTGAACCAATTTTTTTATTTCTGTGTAAAGGGAATGTTCATGGAAATTAAAATATTGCTTCACAAATTAAAAAATTAGGTTTCAAGTCATTTTATTTACTTTTTTTATATTTTTACTGCAGTCGAGATTTTTCGAGAAGAATATTTACATTTCAAAAATATTTCATTCAGATTTTCGAAAGTTGTTGTTCCTTAAACAAATTTCAATTAGTGACAATTTTTGTGTATATTGGATAAATTAATTCAAAAGTTGTATAATAATTTGACTTGATTAGATGAACGCTTCAGTGACTTAATATAATTATATGTGAATCATTTTTCATTGAAATTTCTAAAGCATTGAATTTTCTAATAATGACGATTACGATGATGGAAAATTTTTCAACAAAAAAATTATGATGCAGTATTTTTGTTCTTTGTTCTTCCATTAATGAAGCAATAATAATATCAACTTTAGTTGCTTCACTCCATAAGTTTATTGACAAATGTTCTTATCAAAATTAGATAAAAATTTTCTTTTTCACATTCATCTACAACATTGTTAATTCGGAAGCTAATATTTGAATGATTTCGTCACTCCTTTCCTTTTTACGATGATGTGTAAACGAATTTCGTGATTATGATTTTGCATATTACATTATTATAATTAATTATTACCACTTTTTATTAAAAAATTGACAATTAGGTAAAAATATTAAATAATAATTACCAGTAATAATAAATGACTAATTATTATTATTTTATTTTCATTTTATTATAATAATGAAAAATATAATAATTATTTTTTTGTTATTCTTATAAAATTATAAATATTTTTTTTAAATATTTTTTTATTATCAACGAAAATAGTAACACAAATTAAAAAGTACAATTGATACGAAAATTGACAATTTCAATTACTCCAAAATTTGTTTACATTAAAAAAGAATAATTTCCTTCCGTGAATAGAAAATTAATAAATTTTTTTTTTTATTCACGGAAGTAAATATATTGTTGATGGTAAAACCAGTAAAACAACCTTGATATTTTAAACTATTAGTAATTACATTATGTCAACGATATGGATAATAAAGAATATGTCGTAATTTAGAAAAAAATACTTTATTTATCAAAACGTATCTCTTATGTATAGTTATAATTTTTTTTCGGTAATAAAAATTTTTTTTTTTTTTGAAATTTTTTGTTTTTATATCAGAAAAACGAGGTTAAAAATTTCGGAGTATTTAGTTTACAGCCACTTTGTTGGGGGGCTACGATATTTTGACTTAATTGATAAATCTCAGCACCACGTGATATTGGACGATTTTTCATCATTTTTAATTCCTCGCCAATTTCTAAATGTTGACCCGATCTGCCAGAATCAAGCCATTTGACGTTTAATAATTTATCATCTTCACCTAATGGTGTTGGATTCCTAGAAAAATAATCATTTTTCTTTTCAATTTTCATTATTGTTTTATTATTATTATCAGCATTGTGATTATTAATGTTTTCATTAATATTATTGCTATTATTATTTTTATTTTTAACACACTTATAATATTGATAAAAATATTCAGCAATTAATAGTCGTTATCGTTATTAACAAAAATAGTTATTGTAATTTTCATTTATTAATTAATATTAATAATTAATATTTTTATTATTAATATTTATATTTTTATTATTAATATTTAATTAATATTTTTATTATTAATAATTAATTAATATTTTTATTATTAATAATTAATATAATTGAGGTAATTACCCAAATTTGGCGAAATTGGTCCACATGCGAACAATTCGCTTTCTCGTGATCGATACACGATCATTAGGATCTAGAGGTGGATTGGCCAGGGAAATGTAGAACAGGTAGGCGAAATCATCCCCGTGTGCAGTTCCTGAAGAACGATCGCAATAACCGATAAATGTCGAATAAGATTTACGCTTTCGAAACTACGATCGGGAATAATTCACGACTTCCCGTCTCTCTCTATCCTTTTGAGAATTTATTACTCTCTAGATTCACAGTATGGAATTTGTATTATAAAAAAGAGAATTTAAAAAATCATTTTTTATTCTCATGAGCATTTTTTCATCATAAATATATTTAGCATTGTTTTTCTTGCATTTTCTAAATTTTCAATTTTTCTTTGGCAATAAATAATAAATAAATACAAATAAAGTAAATGGAAAGAAAGAAATAGTAAATAAATATAAATAATGCAAATAATAAATAAATATATAAATAATGTAAATGTAAATGAAAATAATAAATAATAAACATAATAAATTTTATTTACTAATTAATTAATAATATTGTTATTAATAATTAATTAATAGTAATTAATAAAATATATTATAATTTACACTTTACAGTGATATTTATTAAAAAGAATTTTTTCTTTCCGTACGTCACAGCTTGTTTACTTTTTCAAATAAATAAATTTACAAATTAAAATATTAGTGACTAAATAGAGTAATAAATTAAAATAAATAAATTGCAAAAAATATGTTAATTAATTAATGAATTATTATATTATTATAAATTTAATAAAACCGTTTCGATTTTACATCATATTTTACTGTTATTTATAAAAAAAAATTTTTTTCCGTATTGAATTGCAGAAGTGATTAATTATTAATTATTAATTATTAATTATTAAATAAAAAATATAGAAAATATAAAAAAATAAAATAATTTCATTGAATACAGTAATTATTTTGTCTGTCCCTTTTTTTAAATACTTTCATCGAATATTATCGGGGAGGGAAAAAATTGACTACTATAAAAATAAAAAATACCATTCAAGTTGACGTGATATAAGACTTTATGTAAAGATTCTTCAGTGTCAAAAATTAAGCGATAATAATAAACTGGCACTAATTGGCTCTTTGTCAGTAGTCTTTGCTTAGTGTCAATTCCAGCCACAAACATTAAATCTGACGTCTCCTGTTTTTAAAAAATAAATATAGAACATTTATAATTATTCTTATTTGCATTAAAAAAATTTTATTTCAATTATAATATAAAATTTTTAATTGTGAAATTAATTAATTAATTAACTATAAAATTTATAATTATAATAATAATTTATAACAATTGTAGAAATATTTAAATTATAAAATTTTATTGAAAAAAAATTTTATTTATAAAATTTTATTGAAAAAAAATTTTATTTATAAAATTTTATATTATTTATTGAATAAAATTGTAATTTATAATTATTAATTTAATTTAGTTAAATTAATTTTTATAAATATTTATAATGACACAATTTTTATGAAAAATGTCTAAAAATAACCATTTTTTTCTAATTTTATCTTTTCACTAGGAAGAGAGAAAATGTAATATTCTTACGTTTACAAGAGTGCTGATAATGAGAGAACTGAAATTATTAATTTTCTTTGATTTCCTGTTCAAGTATGATTTAACTTTTGTTGGCAGTCGTCTTAAGTACTCGAGGGAGAGAAGTTCAACAATTGCTTGATTTGCTAATTGATTAATTTTGTCAACACCTAAAATTAAAAAATGAAAAAAAAAACGTTTTTACATTTTAAACTAATAATCATTAACATAATTACAATCAAATTAATAATAATAAAAATAATAGTAACAAAAAATAATAAAAATGATAATAATAATAAAAATATTAATAATAATTAATAATAATAATAATAATTAAAAAATAATTTTTTTGTTTTGATAGTAATAATATTATTTGTTTATTATTTGTGATTATTACTATTATTTGTAATAATAAAATAAATATTAAACAGAAATTGATGGTTGCTAAAAAATATAGCCCCCAAACGATGGAAATCTAATATTTTCTTAATAGATTTTTCATATATACCACTGGCAAAGTAGACTGACTCTTGGGACGTGAAACCTGTTAAGTGAGGCACCTGGTAAAAATTTCCTGTTTCATATTTTTTCAAATAGCACTCTGTCATGAATAATTCCTCCTTGGGAGCAATATTAGGATCCTCTAAAGTTGGTTTAAATGGAGGATAGATCTGAAAATTGGAAATTAGTTTAAAAAAAAAACAAAAAATATTAATTCTAAAAAAAAGAATTAATTCAGAAATCTATTTTAGAAAATTTTTTTTTCCTTCTATTTATATTGTCAATATATATTAAGAAAAAGTGGAAAATATTTTTACTGTACTGAGATGCTCGGTTTTCTCCATAATATCACTTGCTGATGTTTTGTATAAAAATTTCAATAATTCCTCTTTGTTTGACGTTTCAATGCCAAGGGATTTTCCGAGCTTAAAAGCTTGTCTTAATGCTGCCTTCGGTAAGTGAAAAGCCCATGGACAGAAAACTGATGCACTCATTGATATTGATCGATGGAATAAGTCTAAATTTTTTGGGAAAAAAGGATAAATAATAAATATTGTTAATAATAAAAATAAATGAAGAAATAATTATAATAAACAAATAATAAAAAAAATAAAGAAATAATAATAAAAAATAATTAAAAAAATAATAAAAATAAATAAAAAAATAAATAATAAAAAAATAATAAAATAAAAAATAATAAATAATAATAAAATAAAAATATAAATAATAATAAATAAATAATAAAATAAAAAATAATGAATGGAGAAGTAATAAATAAATTAATTAAATAATAGAAAAATAAACTTATTCAGACGGAAATTTGTTTCCTTAACCTCGAGACATTTCTGATAGAGAATGAAAATCGACAGAAACTCCACCGGCGCTTTGTCCGAAAATTGTTACATTTTCCGGATTTCCTCCGAATTTAATGATATTTTTCTTAACCCATTTGAGAACAAGATTCTGGTCCTTTAGACCCGCATTTCCTGTCGCATTTCGATGACCTAAGGACATAAATCCTAAAAAATGAAAATTTGATTAATTACAATTTTTTATGCAAAATAAAATTTATAATAAAAAAAAAATTATTATAAAAAACGAATAGAAATTTATTAGGCCTTATTCTATTGCTAAAAGAATTGTTAACAAACGGTGTTAACAAAAAGCAAATAATAATTGTTATAATATGTAGTAATAAATTAAGATGATGATAATAATAATAATAATTAGTAAAATAAAATAGAAGTAAAAAAAAATAATAAAAATAATAATAATTATTATTATTACAACAACAAAATAATCGTAGATAATAATAATAATATTAAATAATTATAATTAGAAATAAATAATTTAGGGAGGCTAACGGTTATTAATTAATTAGGTTCAATAATAAATAATAAAATTGCAATAAATAAAATATTGTAAGAAAAAAAAATATATATAAGATAAAATTTATTTTTGTTTGTTATAAATTTTATTGACCATATAGATTTAAAAATAGAGTGAGAAAAAAGAACTATAAACTTTATATATTATATTAATTGATATTTAGAAAAGAAAAATAAAAGAAAAGTATATAACGATTGGGAAAAAGAAGTGTTGACTCATATTCTTATATAATAATTTATTACAATTTTAATATTGTAAAGCAGGGGTAAAAAAAAGTGCGTGCAAAAAAGTTAAGGAGCGTTTCATAATAAGTTATTTTCTACATTTTCGCAATTGAAAGCCTCGAGATTTAATTCATTTTAACTTGAAGGTCTTACCGAATGGACCTAGACGATAATTGAAGGTAACCAGGACGATGCCTTCCTGAACTATGAAATCTGGTCCATAGAGAGAACTATTCCCGTAGCCTGCACGAAATGATCCACCATAAATCCATACCATCACTGGTTTAAGTTCCATATTTACTTTTGTTAAATTTATCTAGAAAAAAAGAGAAACAATTTTTTTTGAAAAAAAAATCCGAAGTAATTTTTTCAATTTTGGTAAAATTTACGTTTCTCCAAAGAAAGTATTTAATATTTATTATATTTTTTTATTTACATTTATTCGTTATATTACTATTTCTGATTTATTTGAAATATTTTTCTAAAAGTTTTTTTCTAATTTAAAATTTTTTCTTAATTTCAAAATTTTTTTCTGTTTTGAAATTGTTTCTCAATTTCTAACTTTATTTTCTAATTTGAAATTCTTTTTTAATTTCTAAATTTTCTGTAAAATTTCGAGGCCTTGGATTTAGGAGACTATTTATACTTTTTGAAAATTTTTTCTATTTTCTATTTTTCTCTGTTCTATAACTATTTAGCAACTATTTTTATAAATAAGTTATTTATGACACTTATTTTTGTAAATATCACAAACATTTTATGAAACTTTTGATACTATTTTTTATTTCTAAATATAGCCTAAGGCCTGAATTTCTTCAAAGTATAAATAATAAATAAATTATAAATAAATTTAATTAAATTAAAAAACAAAAAGAATAATTGTATTACATAAAACGAAGAAAAACTGAAGAATTAAATGCACGATGGAGTAAAGAACTATAATAAATAAGTGAGAGACATAAAATTTTTAATGAAATCGAAAATAAACAGAATAATAATTAAAAAATATTGTTTCGTTGCGTAAAAAAAATTTACTTTCTTGTTAACGGGGAAATAATATTTTTTTATTTGTTTTTAACACAGGTGAAATAAAAATTTTCATATGTTTGTTGTGTGTACAGTTATAAAATTATAAAAATTCTATAAATAGTTGTAGGTTATAAATAATTTTTTTTTTTCAAGTCTTACGTGTGGTGAGTAAACATTCAGATATAGACAATCCTCTCTGCCTGTTAAATTCCTATAAACAAAATCAACTTGAACGCAATTGCTTCCTTCTTCGGTTGTTAATAAAAGTTCCGACCATGATTTCTTTTCAATTGGAGGCTATTGAAATATCGAAAAAACAAAATCGTGACATTATTGTTCATAATTAATATAAATAATATCGTTTTGTTTCAATTATTGTTGTTATAATTATTATTAATTAATAATTATAATATTATTAATATTATTATTAATTTAATTAATTAATTATTTTATTAAAAACTTGAAAATTGAAATAAATCAGGGTTGCCACAGGTCAGGGAATTCAGGGAAAAGTCAGGGAAAATAAAATTGGTCAGGGAAATTAGGGAAAAGTCAGGGATTTTTAGTAAAAGTACTGGAAAAAATTGAATTTTGGAAAGGTTACAAACGATTACCGAAATACAATTATTTTCAAATATTATAGAAATCCTTCGAAGAATTTCAATTATGTTCAAAATTTTTTTTAAAAATTCTCGTCAAAATTTCAATTATCTTTATAAATATAATAAAATTCTTCTTCGAAATTCAATTAGGGGAGAGTGGGGCAAAATGGGGTAGGCGGGTCAAATGGGGTACCTCTGTTTTTCCATGATAGATACTTTTAATTTTTTTTTCCTCGACATATATCATTCATGTTGATAAGAAACTGTTATTAATTATGAAGACACTCCAAAGAAAATTTTTTTTTGAAAGTTATACAACTTTTAAGTTTTAAGCAAAAAAAATATGAATTTTTTTCAAAATTAAAGTGCTCTCCAAACTTTTTGGGATAATGCATTTAATTTGGCAAGTGTGGGATCTTTTTCAGTACTTATTCTAGAGTTATTTCCAATAGAATAGATTGTTTAATTGTTTACAATAACTTGTAAACATTGCATTTTGTTTTAATATGCAGTGTGGGGCAGAATGGGGTACCTAAGTGTGGGGCATGCCGGAAGCTACGCCGTTTTATTAAAACTATTTAAAAACATTATATTATGCATATTTAAAGGTTTCCTGCAGAAGAATCGATATTTTTGCTTCGAGACATTTATACTATCGATGTTTCATTATCGATATATCAATATTTTGCAATATCCATGTTTTTTTTGTTAAATTCTAATAAATATTACTTGTTTTTTCATAGTAATAAAGAATCCTACTTTTTGTTTGTATTTATAATCTCATACAACAAGAATTTAATGAATTTTGAAAAAATACTCAATGTTTTGTATAGTTATTTGATGCCACCCCATTTTGCCCCACGGGTGGGGCAAAATGGGATTTTAGCACTTTCTTAGAAAATACGATATAAGTTCTTTCAAAAATTTTTTTCTCCGCTATAATCATAATTTCCTCAAAGCTAAGTGTACAAAGAAGAATTCTGAAATTTAGCTGAATCGATTTATTCGTTTGGTTCTCTGTAAACAGCCAATTTCAAAAAGGTACCCCATTTTGCCCCACTCTCCCCTATTTAAAAAAATTTTAATGAAATTCTTAGCAAACTTTCAAAGGAATTCAATTATTTACAGAATTTTTAATAAATTTCTTTGAAATAATTCAATTACTTTCATAAGTAATAAAATTTTCACAGAAATTCAATTATTTAAAATAAAAAATTTCATAAATTTTTTTGAAAAATATCAAGTATTTAAAAAGATTTTTATAAAATTCACCACAAGAATTCAATTAATTAAAAAAAATTTAACAAAGTTCTTTTCAAGAAATTATGAAAATAATTCAAATTTTTCCAAGAATTTTATTAAAATTTTTCTAAAATATTTGAATTTTGGAGAAGAATTTTATTATTTATAAAGATTCTAGAAATTTTGATAAAAAATTTTGTTTTAAATTTTAAACATAATTGAATTTTTGCGAAGAATTTTATTCAATTATTTTTATGAACTTGAATAAAATTCGTTGCAATAATTCAATTATTTATATAAATAATAAAAATTCTTCACAGAAATAATTTTTTTTTATAAACTTGAATAAAATTCGTTGGAAGAATTCAATTATTTATATAAAAAATCTTCACCAAAATTCAATTTTTTTTTATAAACTTGAATGAAATTCGTTGGAAGAATTAAATTATTTTCAAAAGTCATAGAATTCTTCGAAAAAATTCAATTATGTTTAAAAATTAAAAAAAAAATGTTGGTATTTTAATAAAATTCTTGGGAAAATTTAAATTATTTTCATAAATAATAAACCTCATCGCAATATTTTAATTATTTTTCATACAATTTTAATCGAATTCCTCGATAAATGTAATTATTCTAAATTTTTTTTTTAAATTTGTCAAAAGAATTTAATTATTTAAAAATTTGTTGATAAAATTCTTTATGAGAATTCAATTTTAACAAACATTCAATTATTCAATAAATTATTTATTTTTTAATTTAAATAATTGAATTCTTCTAGAATTTTCTAATAAAAATTGATTTAAAAATGAATTACCGAAAATTGGATTTATTATTTATGAAAATAATTGAATTCTTGCAACGAATTTTATTTCATTATTTTTAAATAATTGATTTTTTTGAGAAATTTTACTACCTACTTATTTTTTTTAAATATTATCAATAATCATTTTTTTATAATTGACATTATAATTGAAATTATTATTGAAAAAATGCAAGGAATTTGACTTAATTTAATTTTTTCTTTGATTTGATTTCTTTAATTTAAAAAATAATATTTTTCAATAAAATAAAAATAAAAATTTGTATTTTTTTGTAACTAAAACAAAAATAGAATGAAAACTAAACTAAAATATTAACAACAATATTGGCGTTTATTTAAACGTTCAAACTTTAGGGAGATAATTAATTATTATATTACCTATTAATTATTATTATCTTATTAATTATTATAGTATTATTATAATTAATTTATATAAATATTATGTTTCATTATATTTATAAAATCATAAAAATTTTACTTGAGAAAATTATAAAAAATTCTTTAAATTCCTAAATATTTAGAATTATATTTAAAACAACGAAAGTGTTTGTTATTTTTTGTAAAAATTGCAATTGTTTCAAGTAAAAAATTTTTTTTGTTAAAATTTTGGCAAATTTTCTTTTTTTTTTGCAAAATTAAAAATTTTTTTTATGTCTATTGTTAACGTACTCTAAATCTGTTATATCCAAGTGGTGCCTCTGCATATGGAATTCCTTTGAATGATGAATATCTGACAGAATCCGTAATAGTTGTTAAAATTTCTCCTCGAACTGGTCCGTTTGTTGTTTCGACAATATCTGATAATTCACCATTAGTAAGACCGAAAACTAGTGTCAAAAGATACGCAAATTTGACCATTTTATTTACAAATAAGTTACCTAAAAGAGAAGAACAAATTTTTTTGCGAATAAAAATTTTCTTATAAAAAATTAAAAATTATCCCTATTATTAGAATTGTTTAATTAGTTTCTGTTAATTCTAATTAAAAATTATTTTTTTTATTTTATTATTTATTTATTAACTTATTTATTTAATTAATTATTTCTTTTTCTATTAAATTTTGTTTATTTGTTACATTAATTATTTGTTTTATTTTTTATTAACTTGTGTATTTGTTTAATTAATTATTTTCTTATTTATTTAACTATTTTTTTAATTGTTTTTTTATTTACATTTTTATTTTTTTTTTTTCTTAATTAATTTATTTATTTAAGGAATATACTGACTTACAAAAATTTAAATAAACCAAAATTGTTATTAAAAAAAAATTTGCAACACATTTTTTTTACTTACAAAAATTTGAATAAACCAAAAAATTGTTAGTACCAAAGAAAGTTTGAAAAAACTTTTTTGTTCCGGAATGAAAGAAACGAAAGTTCTGTTTAGAAATTTATACCTTGTAGAAATAAATTTGCACGCGATGATTTTTGCAGAAGATGTTAAACTGATTTAAACACGAATATTCAATTTATTCTCTCGTTCAAAAATGGAAGGAACATTAGCACACGATATTTGAAATTCGGTCAAGAATAATGTACTTAATGGATTCACGTAAGACTATAAAAATATACTCGGTGTCTGATAAGTTCCACCATAAAATAAATACATAAATAAAATAATTACCAATAATAAATATTGCTCTAGAAAAATGAAAAAAAAAATAGTGAATATTTCTTTTTCTTTTACAAATTTTTCTTATTGTCACAATGTATAAACGTGAAGATGATATGGAAAAGTACTTAACATTTTTTTTTCTAGATCTTTTTATTTTTTTTTGTTGAGAATATAAAAAAATGGATTATCATTTTTTTTTATTTTCTGCACTTTTACTTGTTTACACTTTACTGCTTCTCTCATATTTTTTTTCTCGTAAAAAAAATGCAAAGGAAACTATATTGTCACTCGATAAGACAAGTTGTATAAATCAATGCGGTTAAAAGAGTGAAGAGCGGAGGAAAAAAAAATGAAATTTGCAAAATAACATTGTTTTTAAGTAGAGGGAAAATATTTTTTTCTTTTTTATTGACTTTTTCTTTTCGAAGGAAATTTATTCTTGACATTATTTCGAGGTTCAACAAGTCTTCTGTATTATTCTAAATCAACAGTTTTTCGTATTAATAAATACAGTAAAAATTTTGTTGAATTATAAAAAAATATTTTTTTTATTTCTTTTTTTATTTGTTTACTTTATTTATTTATTTACTTTATTTATTTTATTTAATTTCCTTCTTTATTTTATTTATTTACTTTATTTATTTTATTTACTTTCTCTCTTTATTTTATTTATTTGCTTTATTTATTTATTTTATTTATTTATTAATTTTTTGTGATTTTTTTAAAACCAAAATTAAAAAAAGTATTTTTAAATTTTCCATGTGGAAATAAAATTTGTCTTATTTAAATAATTGACTTTTTCTCCCCCGTGTTTTATTAGATTGTAAATTGAACATTGTTTTTAATTAAATTTTTCATCTGTACGAAAATGAAATCAATTTTTCGAATTTACTGTCAGTGGAGAGTTACACACGTATCATTTGAAATCCTTTTAATTGCTTTAAATTCGTTCCGGAAGTAATAGCTTCATCCATGACAGTAAATCAATAATATTGACAGGTAAAGTGACAGGTGAAATTAATTTTTATATAAAATAAATTTTGTTGAAAAAAATTATATTTTTCGTAACGCACTACACTGGCAAAACGTTTAATCTAATTATTTAAAAAAAAATTAAAAGTTATTACTTTGACAGTAGTTTTTTTTTTCTTTAGCTTAAAAGAAAATTTGAAATAATTTGAAAAGTAGAAAATATAATTTTTTGAATAAAGAGAGAGAGAGAGAGAATATTTAAAAAAAAATGTGAAAACTGACCAACCTGGTAAATTTTTTTTTCCAAACTTGTTGATTTTTTTTGCCCCTATTTTTCCATGGTCGATGTGTTGCTTTCAAGGAATCGGTTGAAAATAATTTCAAATAATTCTATTTCTTGATTCAGAGTCGAGATTTGAATACGAGTTATCCGTTAGATAACGTGAGCCGGTTTCTTCTGATGATCCTGATTTCATATTAGAATATGTAATTTTACATCATTGAACCGTAGTAAATTTCGAAAATTACCTATATATAGTTGGAGTAGATGACAATAATTTTAAGTTTTTTTTTTTTTTTGCTATTTCGCAAAATAAAAAAAAATATTTCGTAAAACGATTTCTTTCTTTTTTATCTATTTTTTATATTCAAAATATTTTGCAAAATTTTATTAAAATTTTACTGCTCCAATTTGGTTTTTTAATAAATTCTCTTTAAATTTGAAATAAAATAAAATAAAATAAAATTTGAAATATATTGAAGTGAATTGAAATAAAAAAATTAAATTAAATTAAAATAATTTTCAAAAAATAAGTTTAATTAAATATTTATTTTTTTCGAAATTAAAATTAAAAAAAACTTAATTAAACAATTAATTAATTTTTATGATTCTAATTCAGTCGCTTTCTTGAGATCAGAAAAAAAATTATATTAGTGACTTTGAAAAGTTTATTAAAATAATTAATTAATTGGATTAATGGTTATTAATTAAATTAATTAATTAATTGAATTAATAATGTTAATTAAATTTAATTAAATTAATGATATTAATTTCAAACATTTTCTTGAGATTTTAGAAGAAGTGAATTACAAAAGCGTCTTTGAAAAGTTTATCTTTTCAAATGGAACATTTTTGTAAAACTCATGAATTTAGAGGAAAATTTAAAAAAATTTTTTTAATTACAAATTGCAGAGGGTGAATTCGATGAAAAGTTGTTGGTATTGGAGCGGATATACAAGCTAAGAGCACAGCATCGAGTGCTAATACGTGACCAACTCTATAGACGAGGTCTGTAACCCTCATTCGGTAAAGTACGCAGATACTCCACTTTTATATTTTCCACACACGGAAAATATTCCCCAATACACGTGTGATGATTAAATTAATTCAAATTTATTACTTCAGTTAATAATAAAAAATAATAAAAAAAATAATAAAGAAATAAAAGGGAATTTACAAATAATATTGTTAAAATGAATAAGAAAAAGGATTTGAATATATTTTACGTCAATTAGTTACTATTAAAAATAGATAAAAATAGGTAAATAAAAATTTTATAATGAAAATTTATTACTAAAATTTAAAATAAAAATTTATTGCTAAAATTTATAATAAAAATTTACTAATAAAATTTATAATAAAGACTTATTGTTGATAATAAAAAAATTTATAACGAAAATTTATTACTTAAATTCTAAATAAAAATTAATTTCCAAAATTTATAATAAATTTATAAATTAAATAAATCAAATTAAATTTATAACAAAAATTTATTGCTAAAATTCTTTAAAAAAAGTGCTGCTAAAATTTATAATAAAGACTTATTGCTAAAATTTATAACAAAAAATTTATTGCTAAAATTCTTAAAAAAAACTAATTGACAAAATTGATAAAATATTTTTTGCTAAACTATATTGCTAATATTCTTAATAAAAAATTATTGCTAAAATTTATAAAATAGATTTATTGCTAAAATTTAATTTTAATTTCTGTTGTCAAAAAATAAATAAATAAAAAAAAAAAGAAAAAAGATTTTCTTGGAGCCAAGGAATAGGAGTATTTTGGGAAATTTGTAAATTGTTTTCTCCTTATTTAATATAATGAGAGATTAAAACACAAATATGGTGAATACATTTTTTCTACGTTTCTATTTATTATGAAAATATAATACAAAACATCCTATGTTGTATTACATAGATAACAATGCTCAATTAACTTTTTTTTCTCATCTTTTGTCGTAACATTACCATATCCAACATTATCAGAAATATGTCGAGATTGGTAAAGTGTTTTTTTTTTTATTTTTATTTTTAGTTTTTTTTATTCTCTTCTTTTTTTTGGAGGAAAGGCCCGATATACAATCAGAGAGATAGATCATTCGACAAGATATACAGAGACAGAAAATCAAAAATTACAAAAACATTTTTTTTTCATAGAGTGTTAAGTAAATTATTGTTTCGTTTTTTTTTTTGTTAACCTTTCACACAAAAACATTTCATTTTTTTTATTGGTGTTTTATAAGTGACAAAAAAGCATTCGCAATAATAAAAAGAAAAAAAGAAAATTATTATTTTGCTTTTTTCATCATTTTTTTTTCTTTTTCAAAATTCTTATTTTCTTTCTGCGTAATGTCTTCATACAATGGAGTTTTGTATTAGTTCTAGTTTTAAAAATTAATACAAACGTATGTAAATATCGTTAGTAATAAATGAATTTCTCGTTAGTGAGAAATAGAAGCTTAAATTTAATCATCTAGCGTCACTAACAAATTTTTTTTTTATTTTCACACCGTGCTACAAAGTACGTCTTCTACTTTTTCTTTTCAAAATGGCGCTCAACACAATTTGACGAACGATCGGAATTTTTTTTTTGGAAATAAATTCGTCGACGAATGATTGGAATTTTTTTCTTAATTATTTTAAATAGATTAATAAATTTGAGTTTATTTATTTTAAGCACAGAAAGAAAAAAAAAATTACTGGTGTACAATTATTTATTGACTAATTATTGCTTAATTATTTTAATCAACAAATTATTGCAAAAAATTATTTCTTGTTTAACTGATTAATTAGTTCATTTATTAATTAAGAAGTAGATAATTTATGTAATAGACTGATATTAAATTCATTAATTAGTGGATTAATTAATTAGTAGAATAATTAATTAGTGGATTAATTAATTAGTAGAATAATTAATTAGTGGATTAATTAATTAGTCGATTAATTAATTAATTAGTGCAATAATTAATTAGTGGATTAATTAATTAGTAGAATAATTAATTAGTGGATTAATAGCTTAGTGGAATAAATAATTAATGGATTAATAGCTTAGTAGAATAATTAATTAATGGATTAATTAATTAGTAGAATAATTAATTAGTGGATTAATTAATTAGTAGAATAATTAATTAGTGGATTAATTAAGTAGTAGTTTATTTAAATACTAGAATAAATAAATAAATTATTAGACTAATTAACTAATAGACTATTTAACTAGAAGACAAATTTACTAGTAGACTAATTAGCCATCGAACTAATTAACTAGTAATCTACTTAACCAGTTAACTACTTAACTAGTAGACTAATTAACCAGTAGACTAATTACCTAGTAGACTAATTAACCAGTTAACTACTTAACTAGTAGACTAATTAACCAGTAGACTAATTGCCTAGTAGACTAATTAACCAGCTGTCTAATTGACTACTCGACTAATGAACTAAAAAACTATTTAACCAAAAGACTAATTAACTAGTACTTTAATTAATTGAATAGTAAATTAACCAAATTTTCCATTAATTAACCAGTTGATTAATGAATTAAATAGTTCATTAACTAATGAAACATATAGTTATTAAATTAATTGTCTCTTCTTAATTGTTAAAATTGCAATTATTATTTTTATTAGTTCGTAATCGTAATTATCGATTTGTGAGTGATAATTAATTTTGTGATGATAATTATAAATTAGTC